GTTTTCTTAAAAAAAAAGAGAAAAAGAAAAAGAAAGAAGCTGACCAAGAGTGATCAGAATCAATTATATTTCCCATTTACCAATCATACTGGATATGCTAGACATCCCTCCCATTCTACTCAACTCCCATATATGCACAGCTTTTATTTCTGTAGTAGCTGCTCGGCACTCCTTCTCCACCTAAGCAAGGTTGGACTGATAGTCACTAGAGTTTTCCTGCAGAACTTGGTCATATCCACTCATACTGCTCTGACCACCATAGCCACCTCCATAACCACCACTCAGCTGCTGGCTAGCAGGACCCCCGTAACTGGACTGGTTGGACAAGCCCATCCCTCCCATCATTTGGCTACCGTAAGCGCCACCACTTGCCCCTGCTGTAGAATTCAAAAAGAGTTCTACGTAGCTGTGATCGTAAGCCCCCCCACTCGTTCCTGCAGTAGAATTCAGGAAGAGCTCCACATATCTGTGTTGCATATTAGCTTTGTCTTTTGCCATAGCTGCCACAGCATCTTCATGAGTAGCAAATTCAACATCTGCCTCACCAGTAACTCTGCCATCGGGTCCAATTTCAATGTGTACTCTCATGGGGTTAAGAGGGGAGAAAAAATTGTAAATATCATTCTCGGTGGCTCTGTAAGGTAATCCCCTCATGTGCACACAGTGCCCTGTAGTGCTCTGGAAACTGGACCCACCATCTCCGTATCTATGATCAGACATTCCTGAAAAACAGTAATTGAGGTCTCTTCCAAACCTATCAGATCCAAAGCCATACCCATCATTATAGCCACCATAATCATCATAGCCTCCATACCCACCGCCATAGGCACCCCGCCTCATCCTTTCAAACCCAGCCCCTCTGCCGAGGCTATTATATCCTCTGCCAGCCCCCGGCCTATCATAGGGACCCGGCCGCTGCATAGCCATAAGCTTTCGAGGGGGGTCATAATGGGTTCGGACTTCAGCTCGGCTACTCTTGAAGATTTCAATGTATCTGTGCCCTATTCTTTCCTTGTGTTTCTTTAAGGCCTTTTCAGCTATCTCCTGGGAAGCAAACTGCACAAAAGCCTCCCCTGTGCTCCGCCCCTGAAAGTCCACCGGCAGTGTCATCCCATTTGGCACAATTTCCAACCCTGAAAAAAACTGAACAATCTCCTCCTTGCTACAGCCAAATGGGAGTCCTCTAAGGCGGACGAAGCCATCGTTGGCCGTGTCAGGACTATTTGGACCTGTGTGCTTCAACACCCAATCCATTTCAACACTGTTGGACTTGAATACTTCGACATATCTGTGTCCCATGGTTTCTCTGTCCTTCTTCAAAGCCAGTTTCACTTCATCTTCGGATTCAAGTTCGACAAATGCTTCACCACTCGGTCTGCCTTCTCTGGTGTAGATGAAACGAATACCTGATGTACCATTTTGGATTTTGCAGTCGGAGAAGAAGCGCATCACTTCATCAGCTGAGCAGGACCAGGGCAGGCCCCTGACCTTCACCACGAACCCCTCCCTGCCTTCCGTGCTCAGCATCATGGTGACTGTCGGGTTCTTGGTGGCAAGCTGGACAAGGCAATTTCGTTATGGCTGAAAAAAATTAGAAGATCATTGTCATGGGAAAATGTGCACAACACAGTGAGAGAAAAAAAGTCAACTGTTAATTAAATCAAACAAAATTCAATCACCCTGATAGCTTCTCTGTAAGACATTCAGATGAATAAAAAGACTAGCCAAATGTCTAACTCACCCATCATCTACTTAATATTTATTTATTCATTCAGTATCTATTATGTGTTAGATACCGTTAATGGTGGTTATTCTGGAGTGGTAAGATTATAGGAGCTTTTTGCTTCAGGCAATTTTTGTTCTTTGGACATCTCTGTATGTTCTAACTTTTTTGCATCAACCATTTTATTACCACCATAGTCAGAAGATAAGAAGTCATAAAAAATTAATAGCAAAATCAGTAGAAGACATCACAAATAAAAGATGGCCATATCAGATTACATAAAAAATGAAAAGCTTCATATAAAGAACTCATGCAAATTGACAAAATCAGGAAAATATTAAAGCCTAAGAGATAAGTGGAAAAAAACATTATGGGGAATTCACCCATTCCTTTTACATTTTTCAGTTTTCAGGTCCAGTACTTTGGCACAAAGATCAGTAAGCCCAGAAAGAGCCTGTGGTCCTATAGGAGCACTGTGTCTTTACTGAAAACACAGGGCAAATAAATGCTATTCTGCTATGGCATAATTCTGTGCAGGGAGGTAGGGTGATATAAAGCAGAGACTGGCTGGTGAATTTCTACCAGTTGGCAGCAGAACAATTAAATAAAACAGACTAACCTGGTTCAGGGATCCATGAGCAGATTTTTAAAACTACGATGGTGCATAAATAAGAGGCCAGGCAGGTGATTAAAAAAAGCTGGTAAGCTAAGAGATCAGACCCCAAAAGCATCATTTGATAGACAACTGCTCAAGAGCCATTTAAGGGTTTTAAACAGGGGAGGGAGTGGAGTGGAGGGGAGTGACGTCATCAGAACCCTTTCAATAGATCACCCTGGCAACACTGTGGAACTCAAACAGAGGGGTAGGGTTAGAACTCCAGTCTCTTAGAAATAATGTTAAGGGATTCACCTAAGGCAATAGCAGTTTAAAAGAAGGGAGGAAAGATGTGCTCTTTCTTAATACATTCAAAGTAGGGGAATCTGTGGGATTGGTAACTGATTAAATATAGAGGGACTACAGATATGAGGATACAGGACAGAAATCTAGGAAATGTTCAAACTTTATCAATCATCAGAAATTAAAGTTAAAACTAGAATTAATCACCATTTTTCACCCATCAAGATAGTGAAAATGAACCAGCAGGGCCAGCCAAGTCAAAGCTGATATTCAGGATTAGGGAACTAATGCACTCCCAGGGAGTGGAAGTTGATGCAGGATCTCTGGAAAGCAATTTAGAACTCTGTATATTACCTTTTGACAGTAAATCCACTTCAGGATAAGTGCCCTGAGGAGGATGTGAAATTCATACAAGGATCTAGGGAGCTCAATCTTCTTTGGGAAGTATTTTATTAAGAAAGCTAAAATATTACACAATTTAAAACTTTAAAAAATCACTTAATAAACTACTTAATGATCTCAAGTCACCCAAGATCCAGCTACTTTATAATCTCAACTATGTAAAATATATGTACACATATCATTTGACCATGCCAGAAGTCCTTCCAGGAACCTGGTCAACAGAAAATACAAATGTTCACTGCAGCACTTTTAGTAATGGCAGAAAATAAGAAACCTAACTATCCATCGAAGGGAGATGCTGAATGAATAATTTATCCTAACAATGCTATGCAGCTGTTTAAATAAAGGTGTGTCCTGACTTAAGAATATTTCCAAAATATATTAAATGGAAGACTATATAATAGTATGATCACACTTATCGTAACATAGAATCACGTATGTAAGAACATGGGACAATCTGGAAGGATAAAATACAAATACAAACTTGTTTTTTGACAAAAAAAGAACCGGAGGGAAAGTGGATTTTCACTTTTTACCCTATATACTTCTGTATAGTTTTAGTTTTTAAAAAGCACTATCATTAGAATAAAAAAAGTTAGAAAAATATGTATGAGGAATATGTCAAAAGTTAATAGTAGGTACACTAAGTGGTAGGCTTATGGCTTTTTCAAATTTTTAGTACAGTGTTATTTTTCCATAAAGACGGTCATTTTATTTCAGCAAAAAAAATTAAAAAGCTTGCTTTTCTGGGCATTAGCATAGCAAATTTTACAAAAGTTTCCAATTTTGTATGGGACAGTTTCTGTGACGTGGTCTGGGGAGCCTGGGTTTCTTGGAAAGAAAGTACAAAGTGTATTAACTGCCCTAAAACTACAGTGAGGATCCAATTCGACCGACATTTACTAATTGCCGATGTGTCTGGTACACAGCATCTGCAGTGGCAAGTCTCTCCATAACCCATCTTTAGGCCTGAGTGACAGATTTACCGACCGGTTTTGCGCTTGCCTTATCTCTGGGATGACCCACCCCATTTACTGCCCCTGCGGCACTCGAGTAGGCCACACCGCCCCCTCTGTAGTGGCTGGGAGGTTCTGCTTCATTAAGGCATCTCCTGGGGAGGCGACGAAGGCGACGGGGACGCTTGTCTTCAGTAGGGACCCTGAAGGCTTCCATTTGTGAGTTAACAATTTGTGTATTTATGTGTGTTATACACATACTTTTTACACAACATAGTGCTGAGTAGCTATCTCGGAGTGGTGGATTACGTGTATTTTTTAAATTTACAGTATACTATTATTTTTCGAATGTTCGAAATTGAACGGGTAGACGGTTGTGAGAAGCCCCCAAAAATGTTATTTAAATATTCAACTCCGTAAAAACGTTTATTGGGCGCCTCCGTCAGACACGCATTTCCCCAGATATGACTCTACAAATATAATTTACTTGGTGCCTCCCCCTACAGACAGACAATCAGGCGGTGGAAACCGAGTACCTGAATGGATGGACCAACTCTCAGAACCCTGGTCTCAATATCTGTTTTTTCCTCATCTAGGACCGTGGTTTTCAAACGTTCCTCACCTTACGGTTCCACTTAAGGGTCCCCTGAGGCCCGCCCAGACAGACAGATACGGAAAAACATCCACAGTCACGAACGTCCACCATTTCCCCACCAGGCGCAGCAAAGGCGGTTTCCCGGCACTGAGGTGGGGGAGGGGGAGCGGGGGAGGGGAAAGCGGGGAAAGAAAAGGCGGAGGCGGCCCGCGGACCCCGTTTTTGGTCTTCATTATCACCACCCCCGGGCCCCCCGTTCCCACCCACACACCAACCTCTAAAGATACCGGATAATTTTCCTCCTTCTTCCCTCAAACGGCTATAGCGAGACGATAGACGACGACCAGAACTACTTCTGCTCACGTAAGCGATTGATCACGTGAGCACCTACGTCATGTGAGATCTCGGTCACGTGAGCCACTCTCGCTTCGACTCGGGATCGCTAAAGTGCCGCACTTCCTTCTGGTTAGGCAATGGGGCGGGCCCAGAACCAAGAAAGGCAGCGTGCGATTGGTAGCCGTGCATCTTACGTGACTGCTCATTGGTCCATTTTGGGGGATAACCGTCCCAGTTGCCCGAGAAACAAGAACGTCATGTCTTAATAACCCACCTGTGATTGGTCCGCCCCTCAGGTTAAACTTAAAAGCCCAGGTTACCCGCGGAAATCTGGCTTGCGCGATGACTACCGAGAGGCGGCTGGGGTGCTGCTCCCGGCCGCTGTGCTCCGCGCTGGCTGCTCGCTTCCTGGCCCTGGTTCTCTGGGGCTTGTTGGGGGCCAGGGCCCTGGACAACGGCTTGGCGAAGACCCCTGTCATGGGCTGGCTGCACTGGGAGCGCTTCATGTGCAACGTCAACTGCCAAGAAGAGCCGGAGTCCTGTGTCAGGTATTAAAAAGGAATAGGTGTCCGTTTCCCTTCACCTGTCCTTGGGGATTGCCGACTGTGTCAGGCCTGGAAGTCCTCAGCGGAACATGTGAGCCCCTTGGGAGGGAGCACTTCCTTACAGCTGTTTTGTTTGTTTTTTTTTTAATCCTCTTCAAACTTCCTTGCCTGGGCACCAGGCGTAAACTTCGCGTGACCCCTCCTGGGGTGGACATCCGCTCAGCGAACCCGGCTTCTCTCACGCGCTCATTTGCTAGGGACTTGGGTCTTCTACTATCCGATTCTATTCAGCAGCTTGTGAGCTGCTGCTCTGCTTTTGCCATGTCCTTGCTGGAGAAACGGGGAGCTAAAGGACTAAAACGAAACGCGTGCTATTTCTTCTCCTTTTTGGTTCACAGTTTCTGGGCTGTAATTCGAGGTCTTCAGAGAGAACTTGTAGTTTCTGGGAACTTCCCACACCCCTGTCCTTGAGTGTTGCCTCAGTCTAGGAGGTTGATCTGGGGGAACTTTTACATGGCAAAGTAAGAGATTAGACAGGGATTGGAATCTGTGTGCTCTACACATTCCTTTTCTGTAAATTGGGGTAACAAACAACTCTTACCTCACAGAGCTGAGTCAAGAGGATCTAATAGTTCTCATCGCACACAGGTGAGCTTTCGATGAGTTAACCCATTTAAAGTGGATAACACAGTGCAGTGCATGACCCTTCAATTTAAGCATCATAGAGCAAATGTTCTTAATCTGGAATCCATGGGATGATACATCCCAGTCCCCCAGTCCCATAAATATCTTTCCAAATAAAGTCAAAATATTGATCAAACATCATTAAATTAATTGGCCTAATTGGTAGTTGTCTTATTATTGCATCTGATTATAAAACTCTAATGCATAGTTATTGCAAAAACTGGATAGTAGAGTATAAAGAAAACAAAAATTTCCCAGATTCCACCATCCAGAAATAATCATGGTTAAGATAATAATCTAGAATCTTGCAAACTTTTTTCTATGTAAATAAATCACAGATTTTTTCCATCCTTTTCACTAAAAATGAAATTATGTTTATGTCTGGGATGGTTAACAAGACTCTGAACTCCACATACCTGGATTCAAATTCTAGCACATCTTCACTTAGCCAATAATCTTGGGCAAATTAATCGCTCTATCTAAACGTAAGTAGAGTACAGTGCTTGGCACAGAATGAAAGCCTCAGAAATGCAAATTGTGTCTTATACTGTAATTTATTTATGCAATCTTCTGTTGATAGCTCCTCAGGCTCTTCAATTTTTCATTATTGTGAACAACACCATCTGGTTGTTTTTTCATTTTTTCTTAACACCTTCTGATTGTTTCCCTATGTGTCTAATGACTCTGTCCAAGAGTATGCTTACTTTGTTCCATGTCAAACAATCTTCCCTAAAAGTTTTACAAATGCTCATTCCCTACAACAGTGTATGAGAATGCCTGTTTTCTCCACACTCTGGAGAACACTGCATTTTTGTCATACTTTTAACACTTTGCCAGTCTGGTAGACCATATTTTTACTTTCATTTTTTTAAAGCTTCTTGCCTTTTTTTTTTTTTAAGATTTATTTATGATTACAAGAACTGGGGTACAGGCCAGAGGTGTGGGAGGTGAGAGGCTCCACCAGAGACAGAGCGGGAAACAGAACAGGCAGACAGGCCAAAGTACACTGCTGAGGGGAGCAGCGGGGGAGTCAGGAGAGGTCTGTTGCGCCATGTGGGTAGCTCCCTGGCTGGGGATCGAACTCATGTTGCAGAGGCTATGGAGAGCTTCACAGCGACACACTCAACCCCTTGCACCACCAGAGAGGCCCCTATTTTCATTTTTTGATTACTAATAATGTTGAACTTTTTTTATATGTTAAATTTACTTGCATGGTTTCTCATAAATTGCCTGTTTGTGTTCCCTATTATTCGATTGGAATGCCTTTTTTTGGTTATATGCTGTGAATATGTTGGTTTTGTCTATAAATTGGTTTTGATAATTTTGTTGAAGCATATCAGTTTTTTCCTTTATCATTTCTGGCTCTGGCATCATGTTGAGCAATTCCTGAAGATGATATAGTTACCTACATTTTTTAGTATTTTTATGAATTTTTATTATGTCTATAAGGAATGCCACTTTTTTTTTTGTATTTTTTAAAAACATTTATTTATTTATACAAGCACTGGGTACTGTCAGAAGTGCGGGAGGGTGAAGAATTTACCAGAGCCAGAGCGGGGAACAGAACAGGCAGACTGACGAAGTACACTGCTGAGGGGAGCAGCAGGCGCGGCAGGAGAGGTCTGCCGCACCTTGTGGGACCCTCACTGGTGGCCGGGGATTGAACCGGCGCTGCAAAGGCTGCGGGCAGCTTCTCAGCCCAGCGCTCAACTGTTGTGCCACCAGGGGAGGCCCCAATGCCACATTTAATATGTACTAAATTCTGCGGTACTTGATGACTGGAAGGATCTCCGAACTTTAATTCCCTTGATCTGTGCATAATCTTTTAGATGTCAGGTTCCGTAAAAAGTCCCTTTCGGGGGTGTTCAGGGTTTTATTAAATAGGTAAAGCTGCATAGGAAGAATTTTTCTTTTCTTATCCAAGAGGAGAATAATGTCTCCTCATTTATTCCAGTTGCTTAGGAACATCATAGGTTTATTCATATGGGTCCTGCAGATTGTCTTCAATTTATCGCTCAGAAGTTTAGGTTTGGCTGTTGTTCTTGTGAATGGTATCTTTCCCTCCTCTTACTGTTGATGTCTGTGGAAGCTGTTAGTTGATTGTATCAGCTTTGTAGTTCCTTAACCTGCTGATCTTCTTCATTCCAATAGCCTTTTCATGTATTTTTCATTCCTTTTGTAATTGTTGGGGTTCTGAAAGTGGACATATTAAGAGAGAGGAGGGAGAAGAGCCCAGCCCATTTTACCTCATTGTGGTTGTGATTACTGCCAAACTATGACTAGGTTGAAAAATAAGAAATGTAAAGCCTCAAGGTGCCTTGCAAATAAGAGGTACCCAAGTGTTCGTTTAATGAGTTGTCATGATTCTTGGAATCTCTCTTTCAGTGAGAAACTTTTCATGAAGATGGCAGATCTCATGGTCTCAGATGGCTGGAAGCATGTAGGTTATGAGTACGTCTGCATTGATGACTGTTGGATGGCTACCCAGAGAGATAGTGAAGGCCGACTTCAGGCAGACCCTAAACGCTTTCCTGGTGGGATCCGTCGCCTAGCTGATTATGTGAGTTTATAGATAACTCTTTTTTTCAAACAAGATACTCTAATCACTTCTGCACCAAAGCTTGTTTAGAAGTACCTTAAATACCTTTGTTATCTGAACATTGAATTATAAAACTTATCAGGTAGAACTTTCATCCCATCAGCAGATAAATGTTTTGTAATAGCTCTTGAGGCCCATTTTTTGCTGAAACTACCGAATTCTCCAGGAGGAAAAAGAAACTTGGTTCTTGACATATGTGTGCATATATTTCCACATAGTCTGTGAACACCTATTGCAATTGTACTGTAAAGTGGAGGGTTTTTTTTAAAAGATTTATTTAGGCATACAAGGACTGCGGTGTAGGCCAGAGGTGCGGTGGGTGAGAGGATTCACCAGAGACAGAGTGGGGAACAGAAAAAGCAGATTGACTGAAAAACATTGCTGAGGAGAGCAGCAGGTGAGTCAGGAGAGGTCTGCTGTGCCATGTAGGTCAGCTCCCTGTCTGGGGATCAAACTCATATTGCAGTGGCTGGAGATAGCTTGATAGCGCTGCGTCTTTGTTACAGGGCAGGGAGAGGGGCACCCCAGATCCCCCAAACCTGCCTGCTCTAAATAGGTTCTGCCATCTACTGCATCAACACAAAACATATAAGACTTTAATGGAAAGGAACTTTAATACAATTAGTAAACAATACAGAAAAGACAATATATTTTTTAAATCAAGCACCCAAAGTTACCCATACCCTCTTGGTAAAAGTCCAGCCAAACGGGATTGGCCCAGAGCAAGGCCCCAAAACCTGCCACAAGTCTAAAGCATCTTCCAGTGGGGACCCACAGAAAATGATCAGAATCAACCAGACAAGTCTGGGAGGAAAAGAGCAAAATCAAAATCAAGATAAAAGTTGCCGTTTTTATCCTCCCCACGGGTCTCTCACCCACATCTGTTTCACCCAGTCCACGACCAAAAGGCAAGTGTAGTTTCTTCACGTGTCTCTCTGCTCCATGTGCCTCCTCCAGGTCTCCTTCTGGCTCTCCATCCTGCTTCCTCCTTTCTCAGTCTCCTCTCCAGCTTCCTCTCTTCTCTTTAGCTCCACCCTCCTTTGGGTGGAGCAGGGAGCCTGGAACTTCACCTTTTCTTGGGGACCACCCTGTTACATCTTTAACCCCTGCGCCACCAGGAGGCCCCTAGAGTTCCAGAAGATAGAAGGAGTATGTTCTGGAGATTGTTAACAGATGCACTAGAGCCAGACACTAGTTAAAGCTGATGAAGACATATCAAGTACTCTTGCTCAGGACAGAGCCACGCTGGTTTGCTAATACAACAAAGACAAGTGAAGATTTATGGTGTACAGAATATGGTGGGGGCAGGGGGGTCAGCAGATAGAAAATTACTGAGAGGAGACCTCTAGGAGGGAGGATTCTTGCTAAAGACAGACTAAGACATTATCAAGGGAAGGGAGAGGGACTTAGTGGGGTTCTTGATAAATCTGGACATGAAAGGCCAAGGTTGGGGCCTTATTGAGAAGATGACTCAGAGGAGCCTAACTGTAGCTTAGTCAAGGATGAGAATATTTGTCCAGATAAATGTATAATTACCCTGGAAAGGTAACTCAGGATCCCCTCAGAGGAAGATTAGAGTGACTGATAGCTTTCTCTTCAGGTCTGTTCTGGCGCTTACATGTGTAGTTTGAACTAGCTCAGCAGATTGAAAAATTTGCTCTTTGTCTCCCAACAGACTCATCTGGATAATTTTATGGGCTAGTAAAAAAAAAATTCAAAATGGGTCACTTCTATATCGGGTGAAGTATAACTCAGTTCTGACCCCAGGCTCAAGTGTTTTTTTCTACTTTATGATTGCCTTTCTCTTATGGTGGTAACTTTTTTCTCTCATTACAGGTCCATAGCAAAGGATTGAAGCTAGGGATTTATGCAGATGTTGGAACTAAAACCTGTGCAGGCTTCCCTGGGAGTTTCGGATACTATGACATTGATGCACAGACCTTTGCTGACTGGGGAGTTGATCTGCTAAAATTTGATGGTTGTTACTGTGACAGTGTGGCACATTTGGCAGATGGTATGTTTCATTCAAGAGATTTAGCCATGAACAAAAGGGAGAACTTTGAGACCAAGGTAACTGAACATCCAAAGAACTAATCTTAACATCCTAAATACCCCAGTCATATTGCTAGAAATAATTATTCTCAGTGTGCCAGACCTCCTACCTCTTCTCTCAGTGCATTCATTCATTCATTTATTCATTGTCTGTAAAACCCATGCATGACTAACCACAGCTCATATTGTCCACTTTTAATTCAAGAAGTTTCTAAGAGTCAGTTATGACTAGTAATTGTAACTCTGAACCATCAATTGGGAAAGTATCCAGAATTGCAGTCACAGAGAAAGCAAGATCTTCTTTTCTGCCTTTCCTCAGTACATGCACAGTCCGGCTGTCCCTCCACAGAACAATCCCAGCAGTTGGCAAAGTATTTAGACACAATGTAAGCACAGAGGAGCTAGCTGTCTCTGCTGCTGGTTTAAAAAGTAAACATGGTCCTTCCAGACAGCATTTTAAAAATATACAGCCCCACCTAGAAAGTCCCTTTTTTCCTCTTATTTTACCCATTGTTTCCTCATACAGGTTATAAGCGTATGTCCTTGGCCCTGAATAGGACTGGCAGAAGCATTGTGTACTCCTGCGAGTGGCCCCTTTATACATGGCCTTTTCAAAAGGTGAGCTAGTGAGCAAAAAATCCAATAGTCGGGCCTCCCCGGTGGCGCGGCGGTTGAGTGCTGGGCTGCGAAGCTGCCCGCAGCCTCTGCAGCGCTGGTTCAATCCCCACCTGCCGCCGAGGGTCCCACATGGCGCACAGACCTCTCCTGCCTCACCCGCTGCTCCCCTCAGCAGTATCCTCCATCTGTCTGCCTGCTCTGCTCCCCGCTCTGGCTCTGGTGAATTCTCTTACCCTCCTGCGCATCTGACTGTACCCAGTGCTTGTATAAATAAATAAATCTTTAAAAAAAGTAAAATAAAATCCATTAAAAGAAATCCAATAGTTTTGCTGATAGGTTTTTAGGACATGAGAACAGAGGAGAGACAGATGTCTCCTTCAAAGTCCAACCCTGCTGAACAATCTCACCCTACCACCTCTCCTAGGTGCCAAACACTTCTTACCAGTCCCACTGCTGTAGTTGCAGTCCAAGCTGCCATCACATGGGACGTCATATTTGATTCTTTGTCTCACCAGTGACATCCTGTCTACCGGCAATCCTGTCAGTACTGTCTCCAAAATATATCCCGTGTCAGCCCATTCCTTTCCATCTCTGCTGCTTCACTCTGGTCTTCCCAGCCGCCATCAGTCTGATCTACTTCCACTTTCCTTCTACCGCCATCCATTTTCCAACAAGCATCAGTGAGCTTGTTAAAATGTAAATGGAGCCCTATCCCTCCCCTGCTTACAACCCTTAAATGGCTTTCCGTTCCACCTGACATAAAGTCAGATGCCATCAATCTCGCCCTGATCTGTCACTGCAGCCTCATTTCCCACAGTCCTCCCCTCACAAACCTATTTTCTTTCTGTCCCTCAAAACACCCAAACTTATTGCTCCCTTGGGCCTTTACACTTGCTTTTTGTTTTCTGCCTGGTAATTCTTCCCCCAAGATATTTTTAAATAACCACCCCCTTAATAACATTGAGTTATCAGATCAAGTGCTACATACTCAGATGGGTCTTCTCTAACTCTGAAATAACCCTCTGTTCCTTTATCACATTAACCTGTGGTTTCCCTCCCAGAGCTTGGCACTATATGGAATTATTTGTTGATTTGCTTATTGCCTGTCTCCCCCACTAGAATGTAAGCTCCAGGAGGCCAGGGACCTTCTCTGACTTTATCACTCTATCCCTAGCATATGGTGTTGCCTAATTATTTATAGATTGAATCCCTGTTACTTCTAATCTCTGCAAAATGCCTTCAGCTCTTACCTTCTTAAACCTGCCTGTCTGAAAACTTTAGTCATCCCATTAACAAATTATATGGCTGTGATTTAGTTTGCCTTGTTACTGAGTGCTATATAATTTTGCAACTTCTACTTACTGATACCATTTTAGTTATATTTGTTTATAAAAATAATACATGTTCACTGTAGAAAACTGAAAATGAGTGAGAAAAAAATTAAAAACCTATAATCCCAATTCCTTAGCATATGGTAAATTTCCCGCAAAAACCATATTAAGGCTGTTTAATTAGGAATTTTAAGTTACATGGCCTATTTCTGAAGCAAACTTCTTACAATGAAATTCCAGTGTAATAAGGATTTAGTTCTCATGGAGACCTTTAACCTATAAAGAGGCTACAAGTGTCTTCTTTAAACATGACTGTTTTCACCTCACAAATATGTTAGAAGTAAACAGAAGTAATTTGTTTTCATAGCCCAATTATACAGAAATCCGAGAGTACTGCAATTACTGGAGAAATTTTGCTGACGTCTATGATTCTTGGCAAAGTGTAAAGAGTATTTTGGACTGGACATCTTCTAACCAGAAGGGAATCATTGATGTTGCAGGACCAGGGGGCTGGAATGATCCAGACATGGTAAGAACCTGAGTGCACCTTCTTCAAGCCCCTGCAGTAGGCCTATGTTATCTTGGTGACATTCAAGTAAGTGGAAGGGAAAAGTCCTGGGAGCAGGCTTGAAGTGCGGTTTCTCAGAGCAGGGTGCCATGGATAGTGGCTTCTCTGTGTCGAGGCCACTTTAAAGAATGTCCCATTATCTCTGATTTGAATTTTTTACTCTGTTGCAGTTAGTGATTGGCAACTTCGGCCTCAGCTGGGATCAGCAGATAACTCAGATGGCCCTCTGGGCTATAATGGCAGCTCCATTACTTATGTCCAATGACCTTGGAAACATCAGCCCTCAAGCCAAAGCCCTCCTTCAGAATAAAGATGTAATTGCCATCAACCAGGACCCCTTGGGCAAGCAGGGATACCAGCTTAGAAAGGTATAGCAAAATGTGTTGTACTGGGGAAGATGGGAATTGGGCAGGAGCATGTTCTGCCTTTTTGTTTACAATTAATTGGAAGTTTATTTTGGGTGTGCATTTTGAGGGGACTCTATCCCAAGTTTGTCATCTGTGTATTATCTGTCACATATTAAGGATAGGCACTGATCTTTTGCAAATGCTTTATAATTTTGATATATAATCAATAATGAGGCTGCTTTTTGCTTATTGATGCTACAGGGTAATTTTTAAATCTTTCCTATAAAGCACTCAATAATTGACAATAAGGCTGAAAATCATAATTAACAAGGCAACTTAATGGTAGTTAACCATCACACTCATTTTCTCGGCTTCCTTTCCAGGAGGACAATATTGAGGTGTGGGAACGACCGCTCTCAAACTTAGCCTGGGCTGTGGCTATGGTAAATCAGCAGGAGATTGGTGGACCTCGTTCTTACAGCACCTTGGTCACTTCCCTGGGCAAAGGGGTGGGCTGTAACCCTGCCTGCCTGATCACACAGCTCCTCCCAGTGAAGAGAAAGCTTGGACTTTATACATGGACTTCACTGTTAAAAACTGAAATAAATCCCACAGGCACTGTTTTGCTTCTGCTAGAAAATACAGGCCATACTCATTTAAATTAAGAAAATTTAATTTGTTGCTAGTGACTATTATGTCTTGTCCTTTTTCTCCCATTCCCACTTCAGCTGTGTTGCTATTCCTCGAATCAAATCTCCTAGTTAATTCTACTCAGCTATTATAAAGACGAAATCTTGTCATTTGCAACATGGATGGACGCTAGGGGGTAATAGGCTTAGTTAAGTAATTCACTCGTGTGGCATAAAGGAATAAAATGAACAAAGGAAAAGAAACTTCTATAAATCCAAATTAACGGTCACCAGAATGAAAGGGGGGGTGTGTGGATAAATCTGGTCAGTTCTATGGAGACGATGGAATTATGACGTAGTGATCATATTGTAATATATACAGATGTTGCTTTATGATGATGCACACCTGAAACCTGTTATAGACCAATGTTACCTCAATAAAAAAAAATATTTTCACAGTGAGCATTTTAAAAACTTCTAACCATGTCTAAAGAACATCTGGGGAAAGGATTGCAAACTGTTAACAGCTGTAAATCATTGGGTACTTACCGTGTTCCAAGCACTGGTGTAGCTGCACAGAGTACTGGCTCCTTTTAATGCTTACCCAAACCAAGTACTGATCTGCTTTAGTAAATGTGGCCAGGATTTGAAACCAGGCTCTTAACCCTTAAACAGAGGTGTTTGAATGGCACTTAGACGAAAGGGAGGATAAAAGTGAATCTCTCAATTTTAGGACAATAAATAACCAAGCAGTAATAACCTTCAGAAATGGGAGATTTAGATCTGGAAGCAGTCAGCCTAGTTCTTTTGCCTTAAGACCAGCATGTATAGTGTGAACTTCAAGCCTGTTCCATTACACCCCGTCTTACATCAGCAAAAATAGAAATGCATCTCAACCATCTGGAATGTATGACAGTTCAAAAACAGGGCAAGAAACACCCACTCAATACATAGCACACATAACAATTACTTTGCCTATCAGGTAACTTTAGTAAAACTGGAGGCCTACTCATTGGTCAGCTGATAAAATGCAATGAAATTGATAAGCCCAGACTTACATTTCATGGAGATGCACTTCTGGTTACTAGCATTTGCAGTCCAGTTTTTTCACCATCCGGTTTTTCTGCTTAAGTATAAGGAGCTAAACATTAAGAATGAAGTATGTGGGCCTCCCCGGTGGCGCAGTGGTTGAGCGCTGGGTTGTGAAGCTGCCGCAGCCTCTGCAGCACCAGTTCGATCCCCGGCTGCTCCCCTGCCCTGGGGAGGAGGGTCCCATATGGCGCGCAGACCTCTCCTGCCGCCCGCTGCTCCCCTCAGCAGTGTACCTGGGTCCTTCTGCCTGCTCTGCTACCCACTCTGGCTCTGGTGAATTCTCTCACCCTCCTGTGCTTCTAACTGTACCCAGTGCTTGCATAAACAAATAAATAAATCTTTAAAAAAAAAGAATGAAGTATGTGGTATAAAACAGGAAAAGGATGTAAAACTTTCCAACTGCTGGGCATTTTAAGAAATGGGTGATATCCCTGATTCTATTGGTAAATTCTTTCACTAGACATTCTTTAACATAAAAGTAACTTGTCAACTTCAAAATTTGATACAGTATGAAGGTAAGAGCAAGTATTCCATAGTACATGTAGTATGAATAAGCCATAATGCCTCAACACATGATTTTGGAAGCAAAAGTATGAGAGACAAATTTCCCTATGGATGTCATTGTTACTGACTTTACCCTATTTGCCCAAGTTTCAGGTCTCTAACTTCTGTGACATGAGGGAAGGGATCGCATAAACCCCAAGTGATTCAAATACCAAATTAAATGATCACATCTGATGCAAGCTCAACTAGCTGTAGAATCCAAAATGAGCCAAATACCCAGAAGAAACACCAAGCTTAAACTTCCTCACAGCATTTTATTGATTTGATGACTAGTGTATTTTCCTCCCAAAAGACCAGTCAGTTACAACCAAATGAAGTAAATGTAATTCTCAAGATTTTATTTGTAATAAAAGATGAAGCTTAGAACTGGATCACCTGGCCCTGTAACAGAACAAGAAAATAAATGAATTTTTATTTTGGAAAGAAAAAAAAAAAAACACTTCTCCATCTAGAACAGCAGTCTATTCTTAAAGGGAACACTATCCTTTATAAAGCCAAGTCTCATTCTTCCTTTGCTATTCATGTTAAAACCAACACCAAAAACATCTTTCCTTTATGGATTTAGCTATCTTGAGGAATGCCCCCATCTTGATGCCACAATAAATGGACAGAAATGCGCACCTCTCCAAATATAATAAAGCTATACAGCAAAGACTGCACCTTCCACCCATGATTATATACCTTTCTCTTCTTATCTCCTCCCAGTTCAAAATGCTTGCATCTCTTAATAGCCAACATTCTCTTAGATCTGCAGTTGGGCTCAACACATTCAAGTCTCAGGACAATCTTCTTTGTAGTTTTAGCCTGGAAAAAATTTAAGCCCTTCATAAATGACCACAGAAAACTACTTTCTTTACAAAATGTGACTTGCTAATAAGTAAAACGATGTTTTGTAAATGAGTTGTTGACAGTTTGTCTTACAGGACGCAACGTGAAAAGTAGACTTTAAGACTTAAAAAAGAAAGAGGGCCTCCCTGGTGGCGCAGCGGTTGAGTGCTGGGTTGCGAAGCTGCCCCCAGCTTCTGCAGCGCCGGCCGCTGGGCGAGGGCCCCACACTGTGTGCAGACATCTGCCGCCCGCTGCTCTCCTCAGCAGTGTACATCGGTCCTTCTGCCTGCTCTGCTCCCTGCTCTGTCTCTGGTGAATTCTCTCAACTTCCCGCACTTCTGACTGTACCCAATGCTTGTATAAATAAATGAATCTTTAAAAAAAAAAATAAGACTCAAAAAAGTAGACTTTTAAGAGTAAACCTGCAAAATTAGCACATTATCTAATGGCCATCAAATCCCCCATTCATATAAACTATCTCAGAGAGCTTATCAAATAGGCACCCATCAAACCTCCTTGAACTTGTGGTCTTTCAGGTATGCCACACTACCGAAGTACATGCAATGACATGATAAATGCAGCTTTTGCAACTAAGTACAATTAAATTATTGTCACCAGGGCCTCCCCGGTGGCGCAGCGGTTGAGCGCTGGGTTGCGAAGCTGCCCGCGGCCTCTGCGGCGCCGGTTCGATCCCCGGCTGCTTCCCGGCCACCGGCGGAGGATCCCACATGGCGCACAGACCTCTCCTGTCGCCCGCTGCTCCCCTCAGCAGTGTACTTCGGTCCTTCTGCCTGCTCTGCTCCCCGCTCTGGCTCTGGTGAATTCTCTCACCCTCCCGCGCTTCTGACTGTACCCAGTGCATGTATAAACAAAACAAACAAACAAACAAAATAAATAAATAAAACATGCCTCTATAAAAAAAAAAAAATAAAATAAATAAATTATTGTCACCAAAGACCAATAAAATCAGTTTCCCAAGTATAAACTATAATTATGGCTAGAGTATGTGCATTCCATCATATTATTTAACTCAAAGTACTCTTCCCACTAATACTCAGCTTTCTAAATCAGAATTTCATTACTGCTAGTTTGCAGTTCTTAAAAACGCCAAAACCTAGCTAGAACCTCCCCATCTTCTCAACAAGTTACCCAATTATGAAAAGGCAATCAAGATAAATACTACATCAGGGTCAAACCATTTAACTGCACTTCAATGAACACTGCAGACACACCTTAATACTTTCTGGAACCAGGCTGAATTTTAGAGTCAAGTGCCCCAAGAAACGCTATGTTCCAGACTCTGCTAATCAAGTGGCAGCCAAATCACCTGGAGTAGAAAAAAAATCTAGGCCAAAACTCATCCAGCCTGGAAAATGACCAAAAGTTATTCTAAAGAGCTTAAGACTCCATGAGCTAAGCAGGAGATTGATTTCAGGTTTATGAGTTGAGAAGCAAAATTAAGAGCACAATTCTTGCTGCACCCAAGAACTGAAGATTCACAGCAACACAATGACAGACAGGTAACAAAGAAAAGGATTTACTGGTGTATTCAAACATCACTCCTTAGGGGAGGCAGAGCATACATCCCTTAACTTGGTATTTGCCTCTTCAAAAAAAGGACAAAAAATAAAAAACTGAGATGATGCAATATTTTAGGTTAGAGTAATGCCTGGGTTGCACCCCCAGTTACACCACCTACTAAATATATTACTACATGCAACGAAGGTAACTTGAAATCACGATTCCCCTATACTGTAGAGGTGTGTGTTAAAGGAAAACACAACTCTTTTTTGGTTTGTTTTTGTTTTTACCACTATTAAGTGGGAAGCAAGTCAAATAGTAATTAATTACTAACCTTTTTCCGGAAAATTGGCTTAGTCTGTCCACCATAGCCACTCTGCTTCCTGTCATACCGCCGCTTTCCTAGGAAAACAAGTTATGTTTGGGTATACTCAAGACCACAAATCATAACAGCCACATGAAAATAACCGTATGGGTCTTATCTTGGGCTTTAGTGCAGAAATGTTAATACCCAAGTGTGCGTGGGGGGTTTGGGCGAGGAGAATTGGCCTTGTCTATCAGTCTACTACCTAACATTTATGTGATACACGATTACACAGATGACACGTTAAAACCAAATTACATACAGGCCGTCTTACCCTGGGCATAGAGAGAATCCTTGCCCTTCTTGTACTGTGTCACTTTGTGGGGCTGATGCTTGCCACACTTCTTACAGAAGGTCCGGCGGGTTTTAGGAACGTTCACCTGGTAAATAAAAGTGTTCAGAACGTGCAGTGTTATCGGCTGCAACACCGTGCCCAATCCCGCTGAAGCGAAGGCCTAAAGGGCCTCGACTCTCAAATTCATTCACACACAACGTCTTGATTGGAAGGTGCTCCAACCCCACGTAACGTCAAGCAGATCGCCTTCCGTGGAGCCCCAAAGTGGAGGGCGGTTAACAACCGTTAAGGCGACCTCTTTGATCCCACCACTTACATCCCTGCGCCTGAAGCCCGGTACCCTCGGGTCGGGCCTGGCAATAGTGGGTTTCTCGGGGGCAACAAGGCTATGCAGGAGCCTGAACCCACCCCGGGACAGCACCGCCGACAGAGCGGGGGCAGATTAACATGGATGTTACCGGGTCCCTTCCCCAAGCTCCTACCATGCTTGCGAGAGCGCTATCGGCACGGAAAGAAAGAGACCGGGCCGGAAACGGAAGTATATAGGCGTGCCCTGGTCGCGCTTCCTCATGGGAGTAGGAGTGACCATAGAGTCTGGGTCTCGGTGCGCAGCGCCCCCCGGCGGCCCAGATGAATCGATTTGAAGTTATGGGCGGGAGCTGAAGAAAGGAGTCAGCCGGGAGGTTTGTCTCCACGACTTCCTGCCTCTTCGCAGCTTCGCAACTCTTTTCAGTTCATCACTTTTGGTGGCTGCTGCTACGTAGCAGTGTTAAATGAAGGAGGCGGTGCGTTTTCCAGCCCTCTGGCCTCCCTGCCCCTCTCCCCAAGGGAAGCCAGGACTAGGGTCAAGTGGAAGTAAGTGCGCTGCCTCCATGCCCCGTTCCTGCTCCACCTCGAGGACACTGGAAGTATCTTTCGCAGCGAACTGCTGCTTCAGTGAGACTTGGAGGGAGCCAGTTGCTCGGTTATCACACGGTCAGTTGGTCTAATCAACAGATGTTTGTTTTGAATGCCTATTCTGTGTCAGGCACTGTCCTAAGGAAGGGACACAATCAAATATTCGCGCTCATACTTGCATAATTACAGACTAAATACTTTTATAAAAGGTGGTTGTGGGGGGGGGACAATGAGTAGGTCAGAGCAGTCCCCTTTTGCTGAAGGAATAAATTAGCTGCCCTCGGTTGAAAAGTGACGATGAAATTGTTCAGCTCCCTCAATGGCAATGATCAAGCCAAGAGCAGGTGTCCAGATGCTCTTCCCTTCCCTTCCCTGCATACCTGACGGAAGGCAGGCATGTGGGAGGATTCCAGGGAGCCTGGCAGAGGACGACTGCAGTGTACTGAGTATTTCAAATGGATTGTCTCATAAAAGGCTCACATTCTGGGAGGTAGGTGGCATTGATATTCCCATTTTACAGATGAGGAAATGAAGTAGGATAGTAAACAATTTCCATGATGTCGACAGTATTTAGTGGATCGTGGATACAGGTCTGGACTCCAGAGCCTGGGTTACTCATGGGACTGATAATGATAGCAGTTAGCAGTGACTGAGCACTGTTCTATGCCAGGCATTTTCCTAGCCTCCTCACATCCTACCTCTTTTAATCCTAACAACAACACAGGCTCTGTTTACCATCGTTAGTGTTTAACAGATGAGGAACCTGAGGTATAGGCAGCATTAAATTCACTTACCCAAAGTCACACAGGTGGTTATTTTGTGGGGCTGGAATCTGATCCCAGGTAGTCTAACACCCCAGCCTTGCAGTGAACCCCTATATCACACAGGAGAAACACGAGCACCTCCAGGGTAGAGGATGCTGAGGTAAGAGAATTGGGCAGGGGATGGGAGGCACCAGTGCATAAGGAGCTTAGGAGGGAGGGGAGCCTGCAGTCTCCTGCTCACATAATGGTGCAGGAACACCCAGGGCTGAGCTGTTTCTAAGATCACCCCCTTTTTGTTAGATGGTCTCTGGGAATGAGATAATAAAAACATGACCACTACTTGCTACATTTCATAAGTTTCTCTGCCAAAGAGCCAGAGTGTAGTCTCATAGCACTCTGTTCTCTTCAGACTCTTAGGCGGTCTCACTGGCCTTTGAGGAGTCTCTAGAGATTTTTTTTTAAGATTTATTTATTTATTTATACAAGCACTGGGTACAGTCAGAAGCGCGGGAGGGTGAGAGAATTCACCAGAGCCAGAGCGGGGAGCAGAGCAGGCAGAAGGACCGAAGTACACTGCTGAGGGGAGCAGCGGGCGGCAGGAGAGGTCTGTGCGCCATGTGGGACCCTCCTCTGGTGGCCGGGGAGCAGCCGGGGATCCATCTGGCGCTGCAGAGCCTGCGGGTAGCTTCACAGCCCAGCGCTCAACCGCTGCGCCACCACGGGAGGCCCTCTAGAGATTTTTAATGTCAGTAACATGGAAATATGAAGACAGTGAACATGGCCTCTCTTAGTCTAATCAAACATAGTTCTTTCTGTCATATCTGCTGTGACATGGCTTTGATTTCTATTGCCTTCGCCAATCTTGGTCTCTGTTTTGGACTTGCTCCTGCTGGTTAATTTCCCCTAAGATGAAACACTGAAACTGAACTCAGGACTTGAGAGATATGGCCCAGCTTGGCAGAGTGGGCGACCAGTTCACTTTCCTTTGCCTAGATGTTTTACTTCTATAAAGAATCCTAATATCATCTTGGGTTTTCTAGCAGCCATGTTACTGACATGATATTTGATTACTGACAGCGAAAACCTCTAAACTATTTTCACAAATGCTACTGCCACCCCACTTTCAATGAAATCATTTCAAATTCAGTGTGATCACCAATTATGGGACTTGATCCTTAATCTTGGTAAACTTTTGCAAAGGTGGCTTATTGCACCAGGTGGTCAAGAACTTTTTGGATCATTTGGAAGCTCTATCTTTAGCAGGTTGAGGAATCTCCACTCAGCTCTCCATAGTGGTTGGACCAGTTTGCACTCCCACCAGTAATGCAGGAGAGTTCCTTTTTCTCCACATCTTCGCCAACATTTGTTGTTGCTAGTTTTTTTTTTTTTTTTAATATGTGCCATTCTCACTGGTATAAGATGATATCTCATTGTAGTTTTGTTTTGCATTTCTCATGCTTAGTGAAGTAAGCCAGAAAGAAAAAGAAAAATATCAGATGGTCTCACTCATAGCAGGAATTTAGAAAACCTAAATAAGAGACCAGGAAAAAAGACTAATTATAATAAAGAAACCATCAAAATCAACAAGCAACTATAAACCAGAGACACACTAACAGGGGAGGGGAGGAGAGGAGGGACTAAGGCCAAAATAAGGGGGGGGGTGGGTATTGTATGGGGAATATAACCAAAATGAAAATGCATACATTGTGCAAAAATGAAATATGATGTAAGAATTATATAAAATAAATAAAATATAAAAAAGTATATTTGATGCAAAAAAAAAAAGATCTTTTTGGAAACTGTTTGCTCTGGTTCTGCCATCCCATTGATGTAAAATAGCCTTGCACCATTCACACATCAGCTCGGCTCCTTTCCATACCTTCCTTAAAGGTCGTTAATAAAAATGTTGAGTAGGATAGCACCTACAATAGAACCTCCTCTACACTGGGAATCTTTGGAGGTGACACTAGGTCATTCAGTGCAGTATTGGGGTGTGGTCTCTCTGTCATCACCAGACGAGGGGGATGCTCATGAACAGACGGTGGAGAAGCACCTGGGTTCATTTTCCACTTTCCCTGGCCTCTTTGTCTTCCAGATCCCCTACTATATGCTTATTAATTCTCAATCTTTGCTCCATGATGGACCTTGAAAAGGGACAAGGAGTGTGCCAATAAGTAGCATCTAACTAAAGGAAAGGGGAGGGAAAGTGAATGTCTGCACTAGCTCTCAGCAGGTGACTAGAGCCACTGTTTTAGGGTGATGAGTGAAAGGATAAAAATTGCCAGTAAAAGAGGAAGACCATGCAGCATTTGCTGTCCATCGATCTTGTGTAGATATGAAGCTTAACCACTCTGCTGTCCTACCGATGTCTTGTAACCTTAAAAATTCTAACAAACTTCTAGCAGGGTCTAGGATCCTTTTCTACAGTAGGATACAGCTCCTGGGGCAAGTAAATATGGCAGTGGCCCATGTGCCAAGGCGGGCAAGCAGATCAGTCACCAAGAGCTCTGCTACCTTCCTGGTCTGCAGCCGGTACTGGCTGTGTTTCCTGGGAGAATCCTCCAGGAGAAGACTGCTACCGGGACATAGGGAACATTCAATCCCAGGCTGGTTTATTGCTTCACTGTATTAAAGAAAAGTTGTAAATTAAGTTGTAAATTAAGAGTGAATCCTTGAGGCCCAACTTAAATGGAGAAAATCAACATCCACAGAAAATGTGGAAGGTATCAGCCTTCGTGTGGGCTTCCATGAAGACATTTTTATCTGTAGAAAAATGCTTTCTTAGAAAATGACTCAGCAGGGGGAAGTTTTATCACTACTTCTCTAGGCTCTGAACTTTGGGGGTCCCTTTGTGAGCCCTCTGCATCTTTCGCTATCAAGTAACTGTGTAACCCTTGTTTCCTCTGCTTTAAAGAACAAGAGCCTCTAAAGGCATCTTCCTCCTCGGCCCCTGTGTTCTGTCTCTACCAGTCTGCTTATCTCTTTCCTGTAAGTCTCCACTCCCTGTGCTGACCAATGCCATGGTCCTTTAAGTGTGTCCCTGAGGAGGTCTGACCCGCTACCTGTCTGCTCAGCCTACCCTATTCTAGAATCTCAGTGGCCCCAGAACATCAAGAAAGGTTCTCAAGATAGTGTCAGAGGTCCTAGTCAAATGAAGGGCGGAGACAACTGGGGGGTGGGGGAGAGGATAGGGACAGTAAGTAGCAGGGAACCAGATACCATGCTGCAGAGAAAAAGAAAAAAAAAAAGACATTGGTTTAAGTCAGGAAACCAAAAAAGGGAACTGAGTGACTGTGAAAGGGTGGGGTTTGCTCAGACTGTCCTTCCTCTCTGGACTGTAAGAATATGTCTCCAGGGCCAGTGTCTTCTGAGATCGAGTCCCACCTTCAAAGTCCTGGTATCTCAGTGCACCTGGGAAGCTACCTGCATTAAGTCAGGACTGAGGTGGGTCTGGGGCATGGAAGGGGCTGGGCAGCAACAGCAAGTACCTTTTGTGGGACCCCTGAAGGCCAGGGAGAAAGCATGGCTGGTACCATTTCGTCAGCTAGCTGAGGAGGCGGACGGAGGGTGGGAGTGTCACCCACACAAGGCCCTGGCATCCCTTCTGATATCAGCAGGGGCTACAAGGGTTTTTTCTGAGGAGGGCTGTGGGGAGGGGGAATGAGAGAAAAAAGTGACAGGAGGTGACCATCTGAACAGGATGTTGGAAATGTTGGAAAGGGTCACCTCTGCAAAGCTTGGCTGAACAGTAATATTGCCTGTGGCAGTAGGATAAAAAGAAGCCCTCTGGTCAAGTATTGCTTAAAGACCCAAAATATATTCTTGTGTCAATCGATGAGGCCGTGAGAAAATGAAATTCTAAGAGACACATTGTCTGAGAAGATGGTTAAAGCTCACTCCCCACATTAGGGTGCTGACCTTTGTAAGCTGAAGAAAGGCAGGGGCCAGGCGTAGCCTGGGGCTGCTGCATCAAGATGGTGTTACTAGGATGAGAGCTGACTTGGAAGGATGGTTTGCCCCGTCCTCGTGGTAATAGTGGGTAAGAGCCTGGGCCAGAAGAAAGCAGCCTCAGCCTCAGCCCAGACAGTGTGGCGAACCCCTGAGGTTGCGGGGAAGGTTTCTCCAGTTCCCATTGCCTGCCATGTGCATGCCTTTCTTCTCACCTCTTCATTTCTCCCTTCCTTTCCTCACCTCCTCCTCCCTGTGCCCGCCTATCTACTGGGATCCCCTCTTCTTTCTACCTTCCTTTATTTTGTTCATTACCACACCCCCCTGAATCAGAGTCAATTCTTAATAACTATTGGATTTCTCTTGCCCCCTCTTCCCTTTTCCCTTCCCCTCTAACTGCTCCCACCTCCCCACCCACGACTGTTGTTGAGCAGTAAGGGTGTTACTTTACGGAAAGCAGTTAAAATGGCCAGGCAATAGTAAGAGCCATATCTCAGCGTTTGCTGACACCTGCCATTGTCCCCAGAGTGCTGGCCTAGAGGAAATGGGGTGGCATTTTGAATAAAGGGGTCTGCTAGCCTGGTCAAAACTTCCTGGGATGAGCTGCTGCACCTCCCAAAGGAATCTGGTTCAGTTTTCCCGCCACCCAGCTCTCAAGACTCAACAAAGGTATCCCACACTGTGCATTTCCAGAGGCAGGACAACAACGAAGCTCTGACACTGGGGGTCTCTATAGCTCACCGCTGTCCTCTGTGCTAAGTTGTGTACTAATTGTGTGCCTTCTTTCATTTTGCATGCCAACCCCCTGAACCAGGGGTGCTACAGCCTTTCTGGGGCTACAGATATTTGGTAAGACAATGTCACCCTTCAAATAAGCTACAAATGCAAATTCTCATGGAACCTCAAACATTCGCACACACTGTCCCTTAGCCCTGTCTGCTCTATTCTGACTCCTCTTACGTTCAGACAGTTTGAACCATCTCGTTTAAAGTCCCAATTCCTGTTGCTTATGGCTATTGACGTGTTTGTTTAGGATCCTTTGTGAACTCCCTATGGTGAGAACTAATGCGACTTTCCATCCTCTTCTAGGGTCTTGGTGTAATTTTAAATTATCACCACCATGATTTATTATTTCCATTTGAACATATTTCCTATACAGAGTTTCCTTTCAGTGGACTAGACCCATACCAGGAAGTGACTTTGGCATAAGGGGGAGGGTATGGCTTTTGAAAACCAGTTTGGATAGTCCCCAACAGTCATCAGGTACCTATTGCTTTTTACCCAATGATGCCAGAGATCTGATAGTTCATTCCTAGGAATAAGCGAGTTCGAATTTTTGGTGAGGCAATGCTTAACAGGAAGCCAGAGAAGAGACCTTGGCCCAATTCACTCCAAAGCTGCTTGGTTATGCAAATAAAGCCTTCATGGGAGGGGGAAAGAGAACTCCTCTGAGGTCCCTGAAACAAATGGGCCACGTGTGACTTTCAGTTTCTGTGGAGATTTGTGTGCCCTGGCTGAGGGTGTTCAGGGAGCATTGGATACACAGAAGGCTAAATCCCAGACTTTTCTTCCACTCTCTGAGAACCATCATCAGATGCCCTTAGGGTTAATGTTGGCTGTCTGAATGTCAAGGAGAAGCTCCCCTCACTGCCTTGCCTCCCTGAAATGAAAATAAATTCCAGTCTATTAGCTCACCCTTAGAAGAAGGAAATTCTAGTGCATCTACAGCAGTTAAATTTTAGACATGTTGGAGGCTGGAATATATTGGAGTTCAAGATCACTAGCCCAATGGGAAAAAAAAAAAAACACATCAGTCTGCAACAAAAACAGTAAAAATTGATTAGAAATGGAGAATGAAAATGGAGATTAGGGAGTGGGGAAAGGGTACTCTCAAAAGCTACTATTTAGAATTGAAATTGGTACAATTTTTCTGGAAACTATTTTGCCAATATGTATCAAAATGCACAATGTATATATTTTTGGACTTGGTAAATGACACTTATGTAGAGAGCCTAGTATTATGGGGAAATAATAGGAATACTGTTAAACAAGAGCTTTATATATTTGAGGGAAAAGTTGTGTTGGATGGATAGAGGAATGGAAAATGTGAAGAAAAATAAGCAAACTACAAATACTTGTGTTATGTCCTGAAATATGGTTAAAAATGAAAAGAAGCAAAAATTAAAAAATAAATGAAATCAAATATGATAAGCACAATGGACAGAGAAATGTGGAAGCCTGGATGCCCAAATAGTGAGGCCTCTGGATAATGGGCTTACAATGGATGTTTTCTTTTTAATATCCCTCTGCTTGAAACTTTTCTACAGTGAACATCTGTTATTTTGATAGTGAGGGAAAATAAATTCTTTAAACCAAGGGAAACAAAAATTAAACTAAATAAGAAGTCCAAAGTGGCACCAGGTCCAGTGTGAATGATGGACACCCCAGCGGTCAACCTCAGTGCTGAGGGCATGTTCACTAACCTGATGCAGAGTGGGGACTCTCGGATTAGGTGTCTGATCTTCCTTCATCATCATTTGTTCAGAATCTTGTCTCTAGTGGAAGGCAGAGGAGAGGATGAATTTCTTTTTTTTTTTTAAAGATTTATTTTATTTATTTATGCATACATGAGCTGGGGTGTAGGCCAGAGGTGCAGGGGGTGAGAGGATTCACCAAAGACAGAGGGTAGCGAAACAGGCAGATCCAGTCATGTGGGTCAGCTCCGTGGCCGGATCTAACTCATGCTGCAGTGGCTGCCAATAGCTTCATAGTGCTGAGACTTCACACCTTGTGCCACCAGAGAGGCCCATGAATTTATTTCTTTAAAAAACCACACACCAAAACAATTAAGACACACTGTTAAGATTCTACAGAGCTAAAGGGGTGAGTACATGAGTATTTGTAATGTCTCATACTATCAAAGAAAATACATTCATTCAGTCAAGGTTTCATATTCACAGCAAGTACTGACAATGCTAGGGACAGAGAAGCGTGGGGCTCACACCTAAACCCTGTGCCTTCATGCCATCAACAATGAAAAATCCTGAAAATGAAACAGCGAGTGACTGTGGGAATTCATGGGTGAAATAAGATCTGCTTGTGCAGGATTTCAAGAATTCAAGGGGAAAATGGCAGAACTGAGACGCGCCCTCAAGTGGGGTCACTGCAGTTCACAGTTTAGCAGGCACAGATCATCCTTTCCAGCCTGGAGGCATATTGCAGAAGAAAGTGCCCCGGGATCCTGAATTCTCTTTTACCTCCTGGACTTAACACCGTTTCTTCCTTTGCTGAGTGTTCCTATAAGAGGCAGAAGGGTTTGTCCCAACAGTTCCTTGATGACAGCTATGGGGAGTGACAGGGTGCTGAGGGGGGTGACATCATATTTCATTGAAAGTCAAAAAAAAAAATCTCTGGGAGGCCATGAGATGCCACAGAAACAGCAGGGCTATGGGATCACAGATGGATGAGGTTGAGTAAGTCACATAATCTCCATGAGTCTCACTTTCTTCATCTGTTTGTTCTGAGAAATAAATGAAATAACAGTAAAATGCCTTGAGTACACTGCTCTAAGAGTGACAGGAGTTCCTTCCCATTCCCGTGGGGGAGGAAAGGGAATGGCCAGAAACTCACAATCAAAACTCCACCTCTTAACTTTTGGCTCCCCCCAACTTATTTGCCTGCTGTTGATCTGAAGCCTTATGTTGTAGTCTTAGGATAAAGTAAGCTAGAGAGAAGAGATTATTAAGAAAGCCGTAAGCGGACCATCATTAAGGTCTTCATCCGTGGTGTTCATGTTGACGAGGAGAGGGAGGAAGGGGAGGCAGAGGGGGAGGAGGAGAGGGAGGAGGGATCGGAAAAATTCAAACCCATGTTCACGGGTCAGTTGGAGTTGTTTGAACTATAGCTGACTGGGTATTTCTAACTAATATTTCGGGGATTCTTCCCAATCATCGGCAGACTTTGTAGTTTTCTGAATTTGGCTTGTGTGTTGTCCCTCAGAGTGTTTTATCTTAACATAGGCAAAAATAGGAACCAAAAAGATGGTTTAGTTTACTGATTCTGCAAGTGCTATTTATCTTAATCTCTTGGCGTAGTGTAATTTGTAAGATGGCTGAACTCTTACTAATAAAGATCCTCTTTCTGAATTCTGCTGCTCAAGGAGCTGGTGGGCTGCAGAAGGTGACCACGTGAAAATCCTTGCATGTGTAGTTTAATAAAGAGGCCACTATACTGGGGGAACTCTATTTTTAAAGGGGTTCTGTGTATTTCTATTATTTTTCCTCCTCTTTCTTGATACGGACAACTGTGTGCACGTGTGTGTCTAATATTCATGTTTCCACCTCCCAACCCAACCCCCTGAGTGAGTTACAGGGTTAGTCCTTGCTGTGCATTTTTTGTGGTTGAATTGACTCTGTAGGCTGCTGAACTCATTAGAAAAAAAAAAATAGGACCTTCCACAATAAGGACTCAAAGCAGCAGCAACTGCCCTCTAACACAAGAGTGCCCGTTACGCACCGCTTTCAGGAAGATGAAAAGATAGACGCCTCTCCTTTCACATAATTGGTGAATGGCCCCTGGTGACTAAGGAAGAACTACATTTTCAGGCTGTGTGTGTCTGAACTGAGTCACAAAGCATAGGCGGGAGGGAAGCAAGCAAGGGGCAACCAGACCATGCGAATCGCAGCGATCCTCCAGCTCAGTGGTCTAGAGGTAGAGGCCATTTCAGCCCTTGCTCAGAGAGCTGATGGCTAGTAAGACTCACTTACTTCCTCAAACAGCAGTAAACCTTACTCCAAAACCAACTCTTGAAAGAGAGGAAGCCTTTCTCTTGTACAAGCTGACTTTGTTCTAAAAAAGAAAACGAACAGAGAGTGTCCAGAAGGATCTGTTGTAGAGCACAGGCCAAGATGTAAGCAGATCCTGGGTCTGAGCAGGGAAGGTCTCCAGCAACAGCTCACAACAAAGCTGAAGGTAAAATGATGGGTGTGCTTTACTTATCTGAAAGAGGCACAACTGGACGTCGTTGGTTGGGGTGTTTCTGATCCAATGCACTGGTCATGCTACTCAATTTCCCTAGGGATTTATTTTGTCTTCTGTAATTTGAGTCTTTGATTGTGAAGAGGTCCTTAATTTTAACTCACCATGGGAACAATTGTGATATTATTACAGGGATCTTGATGAGTTGGCAGTTCCTGAGGATACAGTACAGTATTTGTTTACCACTACTTCTGAATACATGAATCATTTTAATGTTAAAAGAAATCTCTTTGGGGTTTGAGCTGAATCTGTATATTGGGAAGGACACTGGTTGGTTGTAATGTCTTATTAGTTTGTCGTTCCTGTGTGAGACTGAACCAGCGAGTCAGAAAAGAGAGCTGTGTGGCATGGTGTGGGGAAAGCTTTGCTCCTTTGCCCAGTTGTTTCCAGAACATCATTTACAAACCTTTACACTAATCCACTACCTGGAGACAGTGGCAAAGTGATCACTCTGAACCCCCCTGGTGTTCTTTTAACTAAATTTTTGTCTCCCCAGTGTGATGATAGAACCTTCCACACCACCAAAGAACAAAATAATGTGTGGATTGCCTCTGGCTTTGATTAAAACTACTCCCTTTTTTTCTCCTGGTGTGAGCAATAATCTGTGCTTGATAAGTAGAAAAAAAAAAACCCTGCTGACTTTATGCCACCAAAGGCACAGGAGTTTAGTTTAAGAAAAAATAAATTCCACTCCCCATCCCTGGGGGCCTGGGGGTGGATGGGGGAACCACCTCTGACCATGGGAGCTGGTGAGTTTTTCAGTATTTATTTTGTGCTCAGTCTTTGTGACAGTACTTACAGTTTCACCGTATCTTTCTACTGAAGCTTTGGAATTAGTAATGTAAGACTGTCTGCGATCCTTAAGTGGGTTTTTGAGATGAAATGTTTTGTGTGAATAAGAAAACCAGTGGCGACGTTTTGTAACTTTCTTTGCCTTTCTGTAGCTCAACCAGTGGGTGATGGGCAGAATCGGTTGGTGGCAGTTAGTGTATGTCCATATTTGCAGGTGCAGTCTCCATATCCTTAGTTATAGACCCCAGTGGGACAATGTTTGAAAAATTAACTTCGCTGTCCAGGAAACTGGGAACTGAAAGTCCAGTATCTGCCTCAGTGGAGTTCTGGCACCTGCATTATCCCTTCTGGGGATATCAGCGTCAACAGCTGTGTGGAGACTTCTGCTGTTCACAAATTCTGCATGTATTATAAGAGGGTGGTTGGTGTAAAACTGCCTGTAGACACTACCAAGCCCAGGGGTAAATGTTACCTGACTTCCAGAGCATTCCATTGCCTTATACATGCCAGCTTATGTGAACTCACAGTGTAGAGCCAGCCCCCACCCCGGTTCAATATGCATCCATTATTCCTGAAAACTGACAGAGCTGGGGGCTGTAGGAAAGAGATCAAGATAGGAAGAAAGTTCTTTGGTAGCTTTGTGCATTTCTTTTCCATTCGAAGCTAGATGGGGGAAAGGTGGGAGCCAGGAGGAATAAGGATTAATGTGCTGGGTCCTGAAGAACTTTCATTACCAACAGTATATATAGGAGCCCCAGGAAGAAGAAGCCATGGCTGCAGTGATACTGGAGAGCATCTTTCTGAAGCGATCCCAGCAAAAAAAGAAAACATCACCTTTAAACTTCAAGAAGCGTCTCTTTCTCTTGACAGTGCACAAACTTTCCTACTACGAATATGATTTTGACCGTGGGGTAAGTTTCTCTGCCGTGAGACCTGAGTGTCGAGGACTTGGCCTTAGATCTTTCCTGGGGAGGAGGTAGATCCTCTTGGTTTGAGAAGAGACCTAGTATATTTCAAACTTAACAAAAGGTTCCCTAGCCTAGAACTAGCTGCAGCCACGCTGAGACAAATTTCTAGGATGCTGAGAAGCCTTGGGGGAAATGTAATCGTGGACTCTTAACAATTGGTGGAGCACTCATTAAATGAGTGTTGAGAATGAAATCCAAGAGTCGGTGGACATTGTTTCTTATTTCTTTTGATAAAGACAGACACAGTCATGCATTCTTCTATAGTATTGGCCTCCAATGTGGTAGTCAAAATAAATTACATTAATAGATCTGGACTTTTTTGTTTTTGTTTTTTTCAAAATGACAGGTCCTAATATAGACAATGAGTGTCACCTGACTACGTTGAAGGATTAGATAAGAAAATCTAATCTGGTTGCGTCATCGCTCCTAATCTTTCTCTATCTTCTTTCTCATTCTTTTTCTCAGAGAAGAGGCAGTAAGAAGGGTTCAATAGATGTTGAGAAGATCACCTGCGTTGAAACAGTGGTTCCTGAAAAAAATCCTCCCCCTGAAAGACAGATTCCGGTAAGAAGACACCATTGTCAGAGCGGCGGGGGTTGTTAAGAAACTTGGAACCCTTCAATTCTCTGTAAATAAATTGGTGATACTGTGTAACAAGGAACACACTAAACAGTTCCCGTATAAATTTACTCACTCTGACACTTATTGGTTGACTGAGTCTCATCATCTTTCCCCAGATGCAGAACTCAATCTGGAAAACTTGTAACACCAATTTTAAGATGATATCATATCAAGTTTTCTAACTGAATAGAGATAATTGGTTTTCTTCCTTCAGTTACTAGGATCAGATTTACAGACTTGAGTTAGTCTGAAAGACAGAACCCTGGGGCTCTGAGTCATATGAGATTCTTCAATAGTTCACTGTTTATTTTCCCCTCATTTCCCAGACCCTCTCCAGGCCATCACACCTGCTAACTTCTAAACTGACTTAAAAGTAGATATCATTTCTTATTTTTTCCTGATTACAAGAATAAAGCATATTTATTCTAGAAGTTGAAAATATTTGTAAAAGCACAAAAAAGAAGATAAAATCATGCATAATCCCATTGTCCAGCTAAAACAGTGACTAGTTTGTTGGTGTATAGACTGACATGCTTTTCTCCACCAGCCAGACACACACCCACACTAATAAATATGCTGTATTTTAAAAGCACAGACTCACGTTGCTACATATCTTGCTTTGCAAATTAGCTTTTCAATTTGACAACATACGAACACTTTCCCCCATGACAGTGGATATTCTTTAATCCCATGATTGAACAACTGCATGGTATTTCCTTTTCTGAATATATTGTGATTTGGTTAACAAATCTAGTTACTTGATTTGATAATGTAGACATTAAGACTCACTGTGATTAAAAAAATCAACAAAATACAAAGATAAATAAAAAAACATTGGGAAGCAATCAAGTTGCTTTCAAATACTTGACACTATAAACCTTGTTGAGTGGGTATCCTTGCATACGTCTTATGTATGTTTGTTAGTCTTCTCCTTATAATAACTTTCTAGAAATAAAATTTTTCTCTTTTCTTTATGAAATTTGTACAGTTTGGTTATTTTAATCAAAGGGTATTTTATTTTCTAGAAGGGGTAATTTGAATTCCATACATTCCTACAAACTGTATATGAGGGTATCTGTTTCTCTACATTCTTTCCAACACCATAGATTGTAATATTTATTAATTTGACAGCTATGAAAACTTAACTTATTTTACAATGTTTTTATTACTCATAAGGTTGAATAATTATGCATCTACAGTTTATTTATATTTTTTCATTTGTGAATTGCCTGTTACATTTTTGCCCATTTTTCTTTTGAAGTATTTACCTTATTCCTACTTTTTGAGATCTTCATATATTAGAATACTAATCCATTAGCTGCAATGTATGTTGAGAATTTTTTTTCACTTATCTCTGAATTTTGTTTATATTTTTATCATACTGAGTTTTAATGTCAATGTCATTAAATTAGTTCATCTTTTCTTCATGGCTCTAACCTTTAGCGCTAAATTAGAAAGACCTTGGTTCCCATAAGATTTTATAGTTATACTTATTTTTTCCTCAGTCATTCTTAACTTCACTTTTTATGTTAAGCTCTTGAATCCATCTGGAATTTATTCTGGTGTAAGGTGTGAAATAACTTCCCAGTTCCCCCCTTCAATATTAATGGTTAAATGTTTGTCCTAGCACCATTTATTGAATAATCCCCCTTTCCTCCATGGTTTGAAAAGCCGAGGTTTGTTTTTCTTTTTCTTTCTTTCTTTTTTTGAGTGAGTATGTGCTGGATCTTATGGATATGTATGCTTACTGAGCTATAGGAAGCACTCATTAAAATTAGCATTGTCTGTATAGGAGTGCCTTCTGGAGCCACTGTAAAGCACTCCCAATGCCTAAGGAAATCCTGAAAAGAGCAATGTACCAAACCAATAGCCATACTTTCTTCTTTCATTACAGAGGAGGGGTGAGGAGTCCAGTGAAATGGAGCAGATTTCAATCATTGAAAGGTTTCCTTACCCCTTCCAGGTGAGATATCTTCTGTTAACTCTCAAAGGGACCTGTAATGTATTCGCTAGGGATGGGAGTTAGGACAAAGGGAAGAATGCTGTGTCCCAGTGGACAGAAGTTGAGGTCGACAAGGAAGCTTGAGAGAGAAATGAGACTGGCATGGGCTGAGAGTATGCTTCCCCATTCTCCAATCTAACATAGTTTCTTTTAGTTTCTACACTTCAAAGGGACTCTGTAACAGCACTAATTCTATTATGATGTGTCTTGTCTATGGTTACTGCATTGAGAAAGATGCTGTTTGTTGAGTGAGCATTTCACTTCCTTCTGGTTCTGCCTATCTGTCTAATGGTGGTCATGAGGGTTGAAACGACAGAAAAGGAAGGGAAGGAGTAGTGGCAGGAAGTTCGGCATGGGGAAGGCTTATACATAAACCTAAGTCTGTTCTGGCCTGGAATAACTGAAGAGCCACGTAAACATGTTTGGTAGATGCAGTGTGAGAAGAGAGGAGAGCAAGAGCTTCAGATTCCATCTTCAAGTTGGCACACTTACGTCCTGCGAACGCTGTAGGCCACATGACGTGAAATAGTAGCTTCTGCAACAGCGAAAGCCAGAAAAGGAAGTGGAAAGTCTCAGGGGAGGGGGCTTTCTGTCATGGATTTATGAGCACAGCAAGACTAATAAGCAAAATGAAAGATGTAAAATGATCTTGTTTATGTTAGTGACTATATCAAAGTTTACAAAACCCAAGAAGATGGTGTTGTTTGGCTGGGCTAGTGGATAATGTCCAAACATAGATACTTCTAAATTAATTTACACTTGAGTTTAGAAGCCATTATTGGATGTCTATTAAGTCTGTGAGGGTTGGAACCACATCTTGTAAGTTTCAAAAACTTCCACAAAACTTTACACGATGCCTCATACCTGTGTGTTGTTTAAAAAAATACTGAATGTCTGATTTGATGATAATGCTTAATATATGCTCTACTCTTTTTGAAGTAGGTTTGTGATTCCAAGTTGGGTTTATTTTGGTTAATATTGTTGAGAGGAGGCCATTAGACAGTGGGGAGGAAATTAGCCATGAATTGAATTTTTGTTCTATATTACCAAGTGAATAATCCACATGTGCTAATCAAGACTTGTTATATAAAACTTTACATCAGTTCTCTTCTATACAAACTCTATACAAGGCTTAATAATAAGATCATAAAATATCCTTTGTTGGATAAACAAAAATCCTGTCTCCACCAAGGACTAAGGGATAAATTATGCACTAAGTTTACACACAAATTGAAACACAGGAGGATCTGGGAATATTCAAAAAGCTGAGAGATTCTAAGTTGCATATCCCTAGATGTGAATTATTCAGAAATTCTTTAGTTCGTAGAACCCCAACCCCATGCTCACTGAAAACCCTGCCTTGTTTCCTACTCTGAATATACAAGGCTGTAGCTTAAAATTAGTTCCTTAAAGGTCTTTTTTCTTCTGAATTTTAACTGCTGAAGTCTGTGTGTCCATTGCTCTAGGTTGTATATGATGAAGGGCCTCTCTATGTCTTCTCCCCAACTGAAGAACTCAGAAAGCGTTGGATCCACCAGCTCAAAAATGGTGAGACTTATTTGAAAATAAATTAGTTTCCGAAGAAAGGAGGAAAGGGAGGAACGAAGGAAGGAGAGACATTGGGAGGAGAGAAAAAGAAAGAGAAGAAAGAAGAGACAGAGAACGGGGAAGGAAAGAAAGGCGGGAAAGAGAGAAGGAGGTCAAACAGACAAAGGGGAGTGGAAAGAATGGATGGAGGGAGGTGAGAGAAAGAAGGTAAAAGAGAGAAGGAGCAGAAGGCGGGGGAGGGAGAGAGATTATATTTTTTTCAATATTAGCGATACGATTCCGTTTACTATTCCCTCCCGTGAATAAAAGTTCACACACTAGAGTAAGAGTTGCAACCACTTTGGCTACTATCTCACCAGTGAGATTTTGTAATTGTAGGCACCTCCGTTTCCCTACTTATAAAAATGTTCCCTTCTTTACACTGATTACAAGGGTGGTGTGGGGTGGAATTTGTAGTTGTTGCAATATTTCAAATCCTAAATATGCATGTAGTTTTTAAAAATTTAGTAGATGATTTATGAGAATGTTGGGAGTCAGGGTGGAGAACCTGATTCCAAGCTCTCTTGTAAGCACTAAAAAGCTGGGTCACCTTGGGTCAGCAGGACAAAAAGCTTCCAAACTGAGCTTCCTTGAGGCTCATTTCCTTCTTCTAAAATAGGAATAATAATGATGCCTGCTGTACCAGCCTCCAGGGTTGTCCTCAGGACAAACTAGATGATATGTATGAAAGCACATGTCAAACCAAAGCACTGTGCAAGAAAGCTCGGTACATCTCTTCACTGTCGCTAAATATTTTCCAAGGAACTGTTTCATGTCCTTTGTTTTGTGAGGACCTAAACTTGAACATTGTTACAGCATTGCACATAGACCATACAGTGTGTTCAGATAAACTTGACTGTGAATGCATGCAGCACAGGATGCATGCATACATATGTGTGTGTATATATAGCCACATGTCAAGTGACTGAGAGATTAACTGGTTGAGTTGACATCAGGAAAGGCTGCCTAGAGAAACAGGAAGGATGGCAGACTGATAACAGCATGGTTGGGTTATTGCATGACAGCTTTTGTCTTAATAAACATTTAGATTCTGATATTCAGTGGCTGGCTACCCTGGCTTTGTTCACTCCCTTGAATAGCAAGTCTGATTGGTTGAAATAAAAATCAGCAAATATTTTAAACTGAAAGAGGGGAGGAGAAAGGAAAAGAAGGGTCATTTCTTGAATTTCTTGCTATGTGTCAGTCACCCAGTTGGATACCTTTTATTTATTTATTTATTTATTTATTTATACAAGAACCGGGTACAGGCCAGATGTGTGGGAGGGTAAGAGGATTCACCAGAAACAGAGCAGGAAACAGAACAGGCAGACTGATGAAATACGCTGCTGAGGGGAGCAGCGGGCATGACAGGAGAGGTCTGCTGCACCATGTGGGACACTCGCTGGCCGGCCGGGATCAAACTGGCGCTGCAGAGGCTGCGGACATTCTCACAGCACTGCACTCAACTGCCTGCGCCACCAGGGGAGGTCCTGGATACCTTATGTTTATTATCTCATTTAATACTATAGCAACCTTGGGCTAAAAGCAACAATAATAAGAGTTCATGCTTAATGTACACTTACTATGTACCAGGTTCTGGGCCAAGCACTTCAAATACATTCACTCACTTAATCCTCACAAAAAGTTTCTGAAGCCTGTTATTTTCCTATTTGCAAATGAGAGAATTGAGGACCAAAGAAGTTAAGTAACTTACTCAAAGCCACACAGATAATGAGCGGTGGGGCCTGGATTCTTACCACATCCCCAGGTCTGTATGACTAAAAGTCTAAGCTCATGACATAGTTTTATGCTGCTTGGTTTTCCAGTCCAGAATATACATCTGTAATTGACTGCAAGATATTTTAGAGTAAGACTATGTTGAAAAATTAAAAAAAAAAGACTATGTTGATATTACAAATAAGGGATACGTGGCCTGCTGGGGGTGGGGTACAAAATGAACAAACACTGCAGCAGTGCTGATTACCATCCAGGGTCTTCTCTAAGTTCTTTATAGCTATTAACTCATTTCTTCCTCTTATTAAACATGTGAGGTGGTTATTTTCATCATCCCCATTTTACAGATGATGAAACAGGTACAGAAGAGATTAAGTGACTTGCCTAAAGGCAATTAGTTATTAAGTGGCAGGGTCAGGCTTTTATTTGGCCTCCAGAGTTCATGCTCTGCAGCTATTTTCAAGCCAGAGAAATATTTGCAGAGAGTGAGACAAGAGCTCAGGAGGGCAGATATATTTGCATTTCTTTGGTTTCCTCCCCAGTGCCTCAGACAGTACCCTGCACCCAGAAAGAGACCAATAAATAGTTGTGTTGATTGATTTTTCTGGGGGCATAAACAGCCACCACCAACCTGGGCTCCACATTGATGGATTAGTTGGAAATAAGGGAAAGTGGGAATACTGAGGGAGAAACAAGGGAGAAGAACAAAATGTGGCATGTACAAGTCAGTAACTCCTTTACACTTCAAGTACATCAAATTTCAAAAACAGTTCATAGTTTCATGCAACAAATATTTATTAAGTGTTCATTATATTCAAAGTATGAGTCATGACCAACAATAGGAATATCCAGCTTACTGTAAACCTGGTTTATTGACTCATGTTTACCTTACTGTGGTGATTATACACTGCTATTAAGGTTCATTGGGTAAGAAAAATTACAGCAGCAAAAATAAAGCCAAAACAAACAGATTGCACCACCACTTCAGTGGGTCACTAAGGTTGGTAACTTTCAAGTGTGCCTTCTTTATGTTTTACTGAAGGCATTTTTTCCCCAGTTGTTCCAGACATGGGTCTATGGCTGGGTGGACCTGCTTGGGCTGACAACATGAGCCCCCAAAGGCACCTTGCAACAAACACCCCCATTGTTGGGAGATTTAGGTGTGAGACCCAATAATCCCAGGACAGCCCCAGAGGCTGGCAATGCCAGCAGTGTGAGCCTCTAGAAGCCGTAAGATCCACGCTAGTGACAAGTAGGCCTGTTCAACAGTAAGACCCACGGTCTGAAAATCACTCAGGTGAGAAGGGAGCCGCATCAGAGCACGGGGTGTTGGCTGCAGGGCACTGGCTGTGGTGGCATTGGGAAATGGAGTCTTCAAGGTGCTGGACCTAGGTGGTTACACAGTGGTAGGAAGATGTGGCTAGCTGTGTACCTTAGCTCACTTTACTGTGTGTAAGTTACACTCAAGTTTTAAAAGTAGGGTCTCTGGTAGCTCATATCTAGCTGCCATCTTTTTTCAGTGGTACTTTTCATGCAAAGGTTGTATCCCTGAGGACTTAGTCATAGGCTCTCTGCTTCCCTGCTCTGCTCAGGAACATGGCAGCACCACAGATATTTGTCTATATCCTCTGGATCTTTGTTCAGTCAAGCTCCATAGAATCTACTCTAATTGCAACTTCAGAAATAAGTAAAATGAATGAAAAAGCATGGCATGGGTGAAACTCCAATGACCAGTAGAGGGAGGAGTAATCTATTCCTGCCTGAAGCCGGATTTTAGACATACTCCTGATTAAGTGCGTATATTGAGACCAGCCCATCAAATACTTGGGTATGAATGTGCATCAATCAGGAGTGCTTCCCGGAAGGGCTGGCCCTGAGAATGGTGGAGTAAGCAGTCTCTCCCAGCCCTCCCATTTGGACACTGTATTGGCTCAGGTGGCCATAAGAAAATACCAATGAACTTGTTACTTAAACAATGTTTCTTTCTCATAGTTCTGGAAGCTGGGGAGTCTAAGATCAAGGTTTAGCCCAGTTTGGTTCCTGGTAGGAACTCTCTTCCTGGCTTGCAGTTGGCCACTTTCTCATTGTGCTCTCACATTACAGACAGCCTTTCTTGGGTCTCTTCTTGTAAGGACAATAATCCCATCCTATGGATTCCACTCTCATGACCCCTTATAGCCTGCACCTCATTTGAACAGCTTCTGTACACCCGCACTTGGTACAGTGGTGAAGAGGAGTGTGAAAAAGTGAGGGGGGAGGTTGAGTGGGGGGTGTGGTTAGAAGTGTTTAAATCCTTGTTTATCAAAGCATCAAGATAGCATTATTTTCTTAAAGACAGCACCTTTGTTCATTTGCCTATAAAATGCACCTGGCCACCAGAAGCATCTAGGTCTCCCCAAGGCCTTAAGCGAGCAGAATGTGACAGGCAATCTCTTAATGACTTGAGTAGGTTTCTACGGAAGAAGGTTTTTATTTTTGTCTTTTTCAGAAAGTTATGCAGGCTTCTCCTTAGCAGCAAATGTTGCACCGTGTAGGTGCTCAACGTGCATGTTGCTAGCCCAGCTCAGGTCTCTGCCACAGTGCTAGTGAGCCGTTGTCAGTTATTTCAGTTCACTTTGCTTCTCTGCTGTCTAACAAGATCCCTGGAGGCCTTGTCCAGTTGTCTTCATGTTAAGGTCCTGGGGATGCCACAGTATTAAAAATGGTAACTACCCTATTCTTTGCAAGGAACTTTGGCTTCTGGGAGATCTTTTGAGCCTCACAACCTATTGAGGGAAGAGGAGCTGCCATGTTTATCACTTGCCATGAACTCAACCCACCTTGGTGGTCCTGGGAAGATGGGAACCATGTTCATTCTAGAGGCAGGATCATTTCATTTGCCGCTGATCTCCACTCTGTAGACTCTTCTACGAAAGCCTGAAAAAAGTTCTCACTATAGCAGATCTCTCTAAAAGATTGCTCAGGGAGCAGGGACGATGGTGAATTGAAAGCTGGAGTGAGGGTTTGATTGGGCACATTGTTTCAACGCCATTGTCAACATCTGCCTAAGGGGAAGCTATAGATAATATGTTTTTATTCTTGGGCTCTGGAGACTTGGGATATTATTACCATTTGATGAGGAGATAGTCATCATGAAAAACTGCACAGGTCTCTCCTGCGCTGGACATGTGAGCCCACTGGCTCTGTTCGTCTGATTTCCGTTGGGGTGGCCTAGAAAGGAGCAGTTATTTGAAAGCTCACCGCTAAGCACAAAGAGTTTCACAAATTTTGGATTCTTCGGCATGATGGATATACTGTCTCTCTTCTCTCCTGTTATAGTCATCCGATATAACAGTGATCTGGTACAGAAATATCACCCTTGCTTCTGGATTGATGGGCAGTATCTCTGCTGTTCTCAGACAGCCAAAAATGCCATGGGCTGCCAAATTTTGGAGAACAGGAATGGAAGTAAGAGATTTCATCCATATAATTTCTTCCTCCTTCTACTCTATACATACTGTCTCTCAAGGGTCTATCAAACCCAGGGACACAGCATAAGGTTGTACACTGTAGCCCCTGCATAAAGGGGCCTGATGGAGGGGATCAGTGGGGGCTGAAATCTAGCCAGGGCTCTCCTCTCCAAGCTCTGTGACCTAGTGTAAGGCTGTTTCCACTGACACTTTTCCTAACTTGCCTAAAAGGGCTATGCATGTGAGCAAGTTCCCTGACCAATCCTGTTCTGAGCCCTTCCCCACTCATCACTGTTTTCTTATTTTGCAGGCTTAAAACCTGGGAGTTCTCACCGAAAGACGAAAAAGCCTCTTCCCCCAACACCTGAAGAGGATCAGGTATACCAGGAAAATTGGGTGCTGCTAAAGCTTCAATAGAAATTTTATAGTCATACTCTGAAAACACACCAGTCTTAGAATTCCTCTGGGGCTTGGCTGTGGTAATTGATATTTTTGCTGAGATAGGGAACTTGTCCTAATTAGGACTTCCTCTTCAATGGGAAGATGGAGGGATATTGGGGCCACTCTTGGCAGCCATTTAATCCAGTCACCCATTTAAAACAAAACCAACGCTGATTTTTAAAATTCTCTTTTTTAATTTTTCACTTTACATATTTTATCTTTCATCTGTAGAAATTCATTTTCTATTGAGATAACATTGGTTTACAACATTGCATATGTTTTCAGGAGTACAGGTTCACACCTCTTCAAGTGTATGTTATCACACCATGAACATGACCCTTCCCCCTTGGCTCTCCACTCCTTCTACCTATCCCCTCTGGTAGCCCCAATTCAGCAGACAGATTTCTAGGTTTTTTTGCTTGTTTGTTTGTCCATATTCTACACATGAGTGAAACCATGGTCTATTTATCTCTCTCCTTCTGACTTATTTTACTTAACATATTCCCCTCCAGCTTCTCCTATGTTTTTAAAAAAGGCAAGAGTGTTTCTTTTTCTTTTCTTTTTTAATAGGTGAGTAGTAGTCCATTGTGTACATATATATATATATATATATATATATATATATACCCATCTTCTTTTTTTTAAGATTTATTTATTTTTATACAAGAGTAGGGGTACAGGCCAGAGGTGCGGGAGGGTGAGAGGATTCACCAGAGACAGAGCAGGGAGTAGAACAGACGACAGAAATACACTGCTGAGGGGAGCAGCGGGAGTGACAGGAGGGGTCTGCTGTGCCATGTGGGAATCTCCCTGTCCTGCCAGGAATCGAACCTGCACTGCAAAGGCTGTGGACAGCTTCACAGCACTGAGCTCAACCCACTGTGCCACCGGGGAGGCCCCTATACCACATCTTCTTAATCCACTCTTCTGTCACCGGGCACTTAGTTTGTTAATAGGGCTGCAATGACCATAGACATGCACGCATCCCTTCGAATTAGTATTTTTGCATCCTTCAGGTAGATACTAGGAGTAGACTTGCTGGTTCATATGGTAGAGATCTATTTTATATATTTTGAGAAACCTCCATACTGTTTTCCATAGGGGCTGGACCAATTTACACTTCCACCAACAATGTAAAGTTCCTATTCCTCTACACCTTCACCAACACTTGTTGTTTTTGGACTTTTTGATACAGTCCATTCTCACAGGTGGGAAGCAATTAAATCTCATTGTGATTTTAATTTGTTTCCGTAATAATAAATAATGATGTACATTTCTTTTCATGTGCTGTTGGTCATCTTTCTGTCTTCTTTGGAGAAGTGTCCATTCAGATCGTCTGGCTGTTTGTTTTTTTTTTTTATTATTATTATTATTGGGTTATTTGTTTTTTGTTGTTGAGTTCTAGGAGTTCTTTATGTAGCTTGGCTATTAATCCATTTTTGAATGTATTATATACAAATATTTTCTCCCATTCAGTAGGACATTTTTGGCTTTTTTTTTTCTTTTTTTGAGGCAGTATTACAACACTATAGATTTCAAGTATATACTTTCCTACCTCTGCAACTGTATTTATACCTTGCCCACTAACAATGTCTGGTCTCGCTCCACCAACAACCAATTGGCCTCCTCTACCCGTTGCCTCCCTTCCCTCTGGTAACCACCATTCTGTTATCAGAGTCTAAGTGTTTGTTTTGTTTTTGTTTTATTCATTTTAGTATTTTTATTCCACAAATGACTGTAGTAATCCAGTATTAGCTTTTCTCCATCTCACTTATTCAATTTATCATAATCCCTTCTAGGTCCATCTATGTTATTTCAAATAGCATGATTTCATTCTTTCTGTGGCTGAGTAGTATTCCATTATGTATACATACCACATCTCCTTTATCCAATCATTGGTGGTTGGGCATTTGTGTTTTTTGAAGATCTTGGTTATTGCAGTGGACACAGGGGTGCATATATGTTTCCAAAGTAGTGTTTTCATGTTCTTTGAGTAAATACCCAGAAGTGAGATTATTGGATCACAGGGTAGTTCAATTTTGAATTTTTAAAGGAAACGCCATACTGTTTTTCGTGGTGGCTACACCAATTTGCCATTCCTACCAATGGCACATTTTTCTCCACATCCTCACAACACTTGTTATTTCTTGATAATAGCCATTCTAGCTGCTATGAAGTGAAATCTCGTTGTGGTTTTGATTTGCAGTTCCATAATGATAAGGCATGTAGAACATCTTTTCATGTGTCTCTGGCCATCTTGTATGTCTTCTTTGAAAATGCCAACTTAGATCCTCTGCCCATTTTTTAATCAGGTTGTATTTATTGTTGTGGTTGAATTGTACAAGTTGTTTGTATATTTTGGGTATTAACCACTAGTTTGATAGAAGGGTTCACAAATATCTTCTCTCATTCAATGGTATGTCTCTTTGTTGATGAGCGTTTCTTTTGCTGTGCAGAAGCTTTTTAGTTTGATGTAGTCCCATTTGTTTTTGCTTTTGTTTCTCTGTCCATTGAGTCTAATCCCCAGGGACAGCTCTGAGGCCAATGGCATGAAGTATCTCATCTATGGTTTCTTCTAGGCATTTTATTTTAGTTCTTACATTCAAGTCTTTCATTCATCTTGAATTAATTTTTGTATATGGTCTGAGACAGTGGTTCCAGTTTTATTCTTTTGCATGTAAGCCTGACTTTTGTAATAAAAAATATTTTCAAACATAAAGTTGAAAGAATTTAACAGCCATGTGCCTGATACCTACATTCTACCACTAAGATATCAGTTTAAAATGATTTTGCTTACTTTTTGAGATCTAATAAGCCCTTCATATATTGTAAGTTATCAGGGCAAGAATTATTATGCTCATTCTACAAACAAGGAAACTGAGATTCAGCGCCACTTAGTAGATCCATGTACTAGTTCAGTGCCAAGAAGATTTCCAGCTCATGGCTGTTAGGTTTTGTCTGGGAAGTTTTAAAATACTGATGTCTGAGTTCCATCCCCAGAGATTCTGACATAATTGGTCTGGGAAACTCTCTGGTTGTCAGGATTGTTAAATACTCCCTAGGTGATGCTGACTGCACTCCAAGCTGACACCTCTGCATAAATGCTTAACAATGGATGTTAAAAATGAATACTGAAGAAACCTTTTACTCCTGGTTTGGGTTAGAGTGGTGTCTCTCCTAACCGAGAGAAGTGGGGGAAGAAGAGGAGAGTGCTTGGTATCTAGCCACCACCACCTTCTTTTTCCTCCGACTACACAGATCTTGAAAAAGCCACTGCCCCCTGAGCCAACAGCAGCACCCGTCTCCATGAACGAGCTGAAGAAGGTTGTAGCCCTTTATGATTACATGCCAATGAATGCTAATGATCTCCAGCTGCGGAAGGGTGACGAGTATTTTATCTTGGAGGAGAGCAACTTACCGTGGTGGCGAGCACGAGATAAAAACGGGTGAGTCTACACCAGCCTTTCTAGAACCTATGGCCACTCACATCCCACACATGCAAATCGTATAGCATAATTCCCCTATTTGCTTTCCTGTTCAGAAATTCTTCTTCCCATACCAGAGTATATACATTCTCCCTCCAAGGACTTTTAGAGGTGGCTCTGTACAAGCCCCCTCTCTGAGTGTGTAGGGTCTGGTCCACATGCTGTGCTGCACATGTAATCAGTGCCATGGGTGCGTGAAGTTAGACCCTTTGCCAGCCTAGCCATGCAATGGCAACTTGGTCCGCTTTGAGGGAGGGGTGTGATTTGTATGTGTTCACTTGAGATTAGTTCTGAACCCAGGAATAGGGGCATATGAATCTGTCTCTTCCCCAGGAAGGGGAGTCCTGGGTGATCTGCCGCTTTGTCTCCTCTGCAGGCAGGAAGGCTATGTCCCTAGTAACTATGTCACTGAAGCAGAAGACTCCATAGAAATGTATGAGTGAGTATGCACATGTTCCCAGCACACAGTCTTCCAGGAGGAATGAAGTACAGTATACACATTTTTCTGCTTTCAACGATTTATTTCAAGACACTTATTAAAATCAGTGCCAGCTGGGTTAAATGATACCACCACACCAAGTTAGTGCTTATGTCTTACCCTTACCCCAAACACTCTCTGCTTATGAGAGGTCATGAGGAAGTTATGCCCCACAAATCCAGAAGGACTACACTCAAAGAAAAAGGGTTCTTCTCACAACCTGATAAGGATTTGGAAGGGCGAAAATATCAAGCTTCTGCCATTGTCCTTTCTCCCTAATGATGGAAAGGGACTGTCATTGAGCGCCCTGTCCCCCATCTCTCCCCTGCAATCCTCTCCTGCCTACTTTCCATTCCCATGACCCTTCAGTACCACCTAGGCTTTGGGAAAGAAACACAGTATGCTATACACATGAATAAAACAGGGATTGGGTGAATTGGTTGAATCACTGGCCTGGACAAACCAGAGGGTGCTCTACTCTCCAAGCTACTGAGGCCTATGGGCCATTCCATCCCTCACTTTACAGGTGGTATTCCAAGCACATGACTCGAAGTCAAGCTGAGGAACTGTTAAAGCAAGAGGTAAGTGTGTGACCACAAGCAAATGGCATTCTCTGGCACAAGCCAGACTCCTGATCCAATGCTTGCTGCTGCCTGATACCTGCAGGCAAGGAAGTATCAAGGCCATTCTTTTATGGAGTCCCAATTACAATCTTCTGTATCAAATGCAATGAATCAGTAGCTCAAATATGGAAAGTTGTCTGTGTAATCAAATGGTTCTATTTTTTCTCATTTTGGGGTAGGAGGGATGCAGGTGTGAGTACCACTTCCTCCTTATAGCCAGCTTCTTTTTTATTGTTTCAGGGGAAAGAAGGAGGTTTCATTGTCAGAGACTCCAGCAAAGCTGGGAAATATACTGTGTCTGTGTTTGCTAAATCTACAGGGTGAGTTCTAGTATTCCAAGGCCCTGGGGACAAAGGACAGGGGTGTCCTCCCAAAGTCTCCCGAATGGTGTGTCCCTCCTACTTCCTCTGCCCCTTCACTCAAAGCTCTTTTCACTGCACTTCTTGGGTCCTGCTGACCCTCGTCCCCAAGTTGCTAACTCAGCATCCACTTCTTCAGGGAACCTCAAGGGGTGATACGCCATTATGTTGTGTGTTCCACACCTCAGAGCCAGTATTACCTGGCTGAGAAGCACCTTTTCAGTACCATCCCTGAGCTCATTAACTACCATCAACATAACTCTGCAGGTGAGTAGCAGGGGCACCAGAGAAGAAGGGTGTGACAGATACTAGGAGAAGCAATACAGAACAAGGTGGTGAAGGAAAGACTAGGTCTCACAGAGCAGCATGGACTGGCTGTGAAAGTAAATCCCCAGTATGCTGCGTAGAGGTCAAGAGGTGGTCAAGGGCACTTCTTTACCTTATACCCTGAGGGACTGACTTCCTACTTGGTGATTGATTCTTAGTGCTAAGGAAAGGCATCAGAAGAGACTGGTGATTAATCAGCCAGCAAGTATTCATTGAATTCCTGGCATGTGCTCAGTAATTTCTTCAGCACTAGAGGAGAACATAGGAAAATTATTAACCAAGGTCCTTGCTCTTAACAAAAATATAGGTTAGAAAGCATCAGAGGACAGTTTCGCAGTAGTGTGGTCATTCTAAAAACTAGGAAATTGGGCCTCCCCAGTGGTGTAGCGGTTGAGCGCTGGGTTGCGAAGCTGCCCGCAGCCTCTGCGGCACCGGTTCAATCCCCGGCTGCTCCCGGGCCACTGGAGGACGGTCCCACATGGCGCGCAGACCTCTCCTGCCGCCCGCTGCTCCCCTCAGCAGTGTACTTCAGTCCTTCTGCCTGCTCTGCTCCCCGCTCTGGCTCTGGTGGATTCTCTCGCCCTCCCGCGCTTCTGACTGTACCCAGTGCTTGTATAAATAAAATAAAAATAAATCTTTAAAAAAATTAATGATTGTTTAAAAAATAAATAAAAACCAGGAAATTGGGGACGGCATGAATACATGAGAGCTAAGGCAGGGCCGAGCGCTGTGGATATATTTAGCTGGGGAATGTATTTCAGTTAGTATTTTCTCACTTATTGTCCCCATAAACTATTTTGTGAGAAGAGAAACTTCCAGAAAACCTTGGGTTTGTGGAGATCTTCTGAGATTCAAAATGTACTAGAAAGATGAGCATCAGAAGTATGAAGTGTGAAGTGAGGGTGTGCAAGGTGTACCCCCATCCCCCAGAGCTGCACCAGCACCATGACCCTCTCCGTATGTTTCAGGACTCATATCCCGGCTCAAATATCCAGTGTCTCAACAAAACAAGAATGCACCTTCCACTGCAGGCCTGGGCTATGGTAACTGCTTAATTGCTCTAAGGTTGGGTGGATCGGCCATTGGCAAGGACTCCGTATGGCAGGACCAGTAGCATCCTTAGAGCACACTGTTCTGCACCAGCCGCCTCCAGAAGGTTTAAGACAGAGACAAACAAAAGTTATTCAATGACTTTCTCCCTCTGGTGGCTCCTACTGGAACTGTAAAAATATATTCAGAAATGACTAAATATATATATATGTGTGTGTGTGTATATATATATATATATATATATATATATGCTAAAAAAGAACCCCATTATCATAAAGGGATTTCTTTTCTTTTAATTGAAATAACATTTACTTATAGCATTATATAAGTTTCAGGTGCACCAAGTTATATATCATCCGTATATGCTACATTATGCTTTTCACCAAAAGTTTAGTTTCCATCTACCATATAGTTGACCTCTTTTATCCAAAGAGATTTTAAGAAGTTATCTAGTCTATCTTCTTGCCTTATGGCTGACTTACACCTAAAATTTCCAGATTCATCCATCCTGTAACCCCCGTCCCTGTGGGAGTAGTACTCCTAAGAATTTCCCTTTTATTGTAACTTATCTATTTCCACCCCAGTAGTCTTATCTATGACAGGAATTGTACATACTTGACTCCCAAAGAATCACATCAAGGCTTTGTTGTTATAGGATCATGGGAAATTGATCCAAAGGATCTGACCTTCTTGAAGGAGCTGGGGACCGGACAATTTGGAGTAGTGAAGTATGGGAAATGGAGAGGCCAGTACGATGTGGCCATAAAGATGATCAAAGAAGGCTCCATGTCTGAGGATGAGTTCATTGAAGAAGCCAAAGTCATGATGTGAGTCCCAGCCCAACTCTCAATTCAGTTGCTAAAGTCTAGGAATTACCAGGACGGTTCCCACTGTGGTTTAAGGTGACTTACAGTGGGAGGGACTTGGGAACAGAGCAGAGCCGGATGTCAACCATTGATTGGCAGGAGACTAAGATACTCATTTCTCTGCATTAGAGCTTGGTTGAGAATAGTGTGGCTTGCGGGTGTATATCATCTCAGTAGCATTTAGGGGTAGACGTGGACAATGAGACCTTCAAAGGGAAGACAGATTCTAACTTAGCCTTAGTGTCCAATAAGTCCTTGACTTATTTCTTCTTCTGTTGATTTGCTCCACATCCCTGCTTGACCCCACATATTAGGTACTTTTCGGCTTTAAGGTGGGAAGGAGGAAAATCAACTTACTATTATAGACCTTTATCAGACACTCTACTCCCAGGTCAACCCCCTTTCTCCCCAATCCCTTTATGACTCGTATGCAGAGCCAGAAGGGAAGAAATGGTTTGTTGCCTCCCCTGTAGGAATCTTTCTCATGAGAAGCTGGTGCAGTTATATGGTGTCTGCACCAAACAGCGGCCCATCTTCATCATCACTGAGTACATGGCCAATGGCTGCCTCCTAAATTACCTGAGGGAGATGCGGCACTGCTTCCAGACTCAGCAGCTGCTGGAGATGTGCAAGGATGTCTGTGAGGCCATGGAATACCTGGAGTCAAAGCAGTTCCTTCACCGAGACCTGGTGGGACATCCCAAGAATAAACCTGGGACTGAGGGCTAAGGGGTGGAAATAACAGGAAGACATTTCAGATATGGATGAGGAGGGTTGCTGGAGCCTTCATTTTAGTTTGATCTAGAAAACACTAAAAGTTCGGGGTGCCTCTGCCCAAGTGGTCAGTCACTCCAGCCTCAGCACCATGAGTTCTGCCATGGTCGGAGCTAGAGCAGTCATGCACTTATGGACCTCTACCACTCCAAGGCAATGGTGGGCTCCTTCAGGGGCAGAAGGGCAGCCGGGCTTCTTCGTGGGACTACTCCTGGCACAGAGCCATCATTTCGTCACATGGGTCACAAGCTGGGGACCTACGGGGTGCATCTGGGCTTTTAAAAGTTATGTTAGCTAGCAGGCACTTGAAACATTTCACATTTAAAAAGAGAATTTCCAGCTTCTCCTGTATATCTAGCCCATCTGGTAACAGGCCCATATTCTCACAGTCCATGCTACCAGTTGGCTGGAGGTGAGGAGCAGCTGCCTCTTCAGACCAGCCATGTGCCCTCCACTTCTGCAGTCTCCACCCTCCTCATTTCACCCTCCCACTGGGCCTGTCTGGCCTCGGGCGGCCTCAGAGTTTATGCCCCTGTTTATTTCAGCGAGGACTAGACAAATGGTCCATGTCCCACGAGTAGGAGAGAACCAAACAGACTTGCCTCCTATTCCCCCTTAAGTCTCGGCATTTCAGTGCAGGAAGTGGTGTCATGGAGTTGCCACTGAGAATGGAATTCTGCTTGTCCTCTGTGCTCCGCATATGACCACAGAGCAGTGGCCTTCCATGTGGTAGACTGCACGGGCATTTCTCAGCAGCGGACTCCCATTAGGTGGGCAGGTACCCCTAGCCAAACAGGTTTCTCTGGCTTCGTTCCCCTGGTGGGCAGCTGCTTTGTGCCTCTAACCTGTGTGCCAGGGACGAGTCTCACTGGTATCTGTTGTACTACAGGCGGCTCGAAACTGTTTGGTAAATGATCAAGGAGTTGTGAAAGTCTCTGACTTTGGCCTGTCCAGGTGAGTGTGCTTTCCGCAGCTTTCCCTCTAACAGTAAAAATATCACAACAGACACACACGTGAGGAGGCATTAGTGTTTTTAATCTTCTCCTTTTCTTTTTTGTTCTCTCTCTAGTCTTTCCCACCATCTTTCTATTCCTTTTCTTTCTATAAATTAAGTTACTTCTTTCATCTTTTTGTTTATTGTTCTATTCCCCCTCCTCTTCTCTTTCTCGCTCTCTTTGAGCTATTTTCAAAACCTTCTGTTGATGTGTTAACCCTGTTGACTTTACTCCACCTCTGCTCCTCCTTTAATCAATCTAACTCCTACTGACAGTTGCAGAATTGGAGGAAGGGAAGGAGAAGAAAGAGAAAGGAGAGGGACAGAATAGAGGAGAGGAAGAAGCACCTGTTAGAACATCTTTCATGCCATCTTTGCTGTAACCATATTGCCAACCAGGAACGCCTAGTCACATAAGAGAGACAGGAAAGTGTAAGAATAACATTTGTAAAAGACACTGGTGGGCCAGCAGACACTTTTGAGCAAAGCTGTAGGCGTGTATTTGTGTGTCTGTCATGAGTGTGCCAAGAAAACTCAAGCAAATCTCCAGCTCTCTATATCCTAACAGGAACTTGCCCTGAATCCTTTGCAGGTATGTCTTGGATGACGAATACACAAGCTCAGTGGGCTCCAAGTTTCCAGTCCGGTGGTCCCCGCCGGAAGTCCTGATGTATAGCAAGTTCAGCAGCAAATCTGACATTTGGGCTTTTGGTGAGTGAATAAGATTATACAGATGACACAGCTGAAAGGAAGAGGAACGCAGCGGGGAGAGCCACATTTTGCAAGCTGCACAGGGAGATTAGTCTTTGTTCTAGCTTTCATTCATCAACTCCATAGGGAGTGCTTACTATGTCAGGCACTGCAGGGGTTTCTGGGGATAAAAACTGTAAACTAGACACGACCCTTGCCTTCTCAGAACTTATACTGTATTGAGGGAAACAAACCATTCATTCACTATTTGACAACTTCTGAATACTGATTATATGCCAGGGATTCTACCAGGTCCTGTAACTACAAAGACAGATAAGAGGTGCTAATCGTCCAGTGACACTGTGATTATCCTCCAGTAGGGTCAGTACTACAGAAGGCGTTTGGACCAAATGCAAAAAAAAAAAAAAGCACAGAGGGGAGAAGTAACAGAATCTAATGTTTAAGTTGCTCTAGGAAGACCGGCCGCACACTACTCAAAAGACTGCACACTGACTTACTACATTTCCCCCCATCTTCTAGGGGTTTTGATGTGGGAAATTTACTCTCTGGGGAAGATGCCATATGAGAGATTTACTAACAGTGAAACTGCTGAGCACATTGCCCAAGGCCTCCGACTCTACAGGCCTCACCTAGCTTCAGAGAGGGTTTATACCATCATGTACAGCTGCTGGCATGAGGTAAGTGTTTTACTGGGTCCTTTTAAATTATTCCCATTACTCAGGCCAGGCACCCAGTCCCCAAGCTTCCTGGCGGCCATGGCAGCTGGGCACATCTGATAGCTGCACACATACCCCGGCCCTGACCTGTACCCCAGTCCTTTCCTGGCCAGAATCTTTTCTGGGCCCACTCCAATTTTCACGAGTCTCATTAGCAAAGCCCATGGCCAACTCAGCTTTAGGGAGATGAGGTATTGGGGGCCCGTGCCACCTAGCAGAAGCAACAAGCCAAAGGCACTTAGACAAGTGTGTGGACATTACAGAGAAAGGTCATTAACATTTGTGTTCACCTCTTGGGAGCTATTAACCCCCACAGCCTGGATAAAGAGACAGTCACCAAACTTGATGCACATGGGGATTGTGGAGGATGCACTTAAAACTACTGATGCAAGTAGCTAACATTTAACTCTACAGAGTATTACCTTTTAAATTAAGAGGTATATATTTATGATGATATTCAAATTAGGTGTCTGATTCCTTACTTAGATTCATTACTTAAACTGATTCAAGTATTCAAGGCAGAGGTAGCTTCATCTAATATAAAGCCACTTATCTGCAGAGAGCACAGAAACTGTTTTGGGGGACATTTTAAAATAAATCCTAAGTAACACTGCCAAAAACAAAACAAAACAAAACAACCTTCAGATGACTCTGTCTCATCTCCAGAGATTCCAGTTAGGTTTGTCTGGACTGGAACCCAGGCATGTCTTGAACTTCCCGGGGAAATTCTGATATTCAGCTGGGTCTGAGAACCATTACTCAACAAGAAATCGATGACTTTTTTGTTCTGATGGATTGAAACCTCTCTGGCATGAATCATTAAATACCTCAGGGGCTTGTGAACCATGTCAAAAAGTGAAGGCGGGAAGAGTAGAAAAGGTCCCAGGTGCTCTGGAGCCCTGTCTAGAGTTGCAGCCTTTGATTTTATGAAAATCCCTTTGTTAACTCTATAGGATGATAGAAATAGTGCAAAGTACAAAAGTACAAAATACCCAAGTACAAAACATCACAGTTTACAGGATTTCAAGTCAGCCAACCACTTTCATTTCTTTTGGAGCCATTTTTCATTTGAGTATCTAAAAATAAGAAAGTATCCCTGTACAATTATGTAATGAATTTGCCCTTGATTGTGATCAATATGTCAGTTTAATTTGCAAATCGTTCTCATCACATCAACAATCTGAGTTACTAAGGATAAGAAGGACTTTATGGGGTGCTTTCTAATTCTTTTCCTTTCTGGTAGTCAACAGGGTATGCTACTGGGCACAGTGCATGTTAAAAATAACATTTGCTGTTTACTCATTGCATTTCCCTTGGATTCTGGATTCTAGCCCACTATAATACGCTCCTTTCTTTTTGATTCTAGAAAGCAGATGAACGTCCCACTTTCAAATTTCTTCTGAGCAGCATTCTAGATGTCATGGACGAAGAATCTTGAACTCACCTTAAGCTTGTTTGTTCTCCTCTACTCTCCAAGCCTCTCGTCACTTTTTCTGAGGAAATCCCAGACTTAAGTCCTGGAGATGTGCTCTTGCTGAATACACAAAGACCCCCCTCTACATGTAGGAATCCTCTCTTCTTTGATTCCCTGGGGTAGCGCCTTCCAGCAAAGGCCAAGGAATTGTACCAGTTATTGTTCCCCAAAGAGGAATTGTTCCCCATGCGTATTAAGAGACTAAATTCGAGATGGAAACATTTTGGGGCAGGGAGCGATGTAAATAGCCTTACAAGGGTTATGACAGCTCTTTGGGTAGACAGTAGAGCTTGGGGGGAGGGAGGTCAAATTTGGCAAGAATAAACGGTGTCATGAAAATGGGAGGGTATTTTGATAAAATAAAATTACTGGAACGTATGAAGGTTTCTTGGTATCTCAATTAAGTTATGCAGCCTCCCGGAAGCGTCAGTGTTCCAATAAACTGTTTTGTGACATTGCTTAGCCGTACTCCAACACGGAGAGCCTCGGGATCATTAGCATTTAGCTGCTAGCTCTGGACCAACTCTGCCTCTTAGGCCGCCTCGAACTCATAAGCCAAAGCAGGGTGCCTGGCACATTGTAGCCAGGCAATAGTATTGGAACGAATCTGCAAAAGGGGGACAGCTTCTCTCGGGGCTCTTTTTCCCTACGCCAGGAGAAAACACTACCGAAGAACTAGAGCCTAGGGCCTAGGACCGCCCAGTGACGGGCGGGGCAGGAGCGCGGCGGCTAAGAAAGCGCGGGCCAATTTGGAAGCGGGGGAGGCGGGGCTGTCGGGCTGGCTAGGCACCGGCCACGTGGTCTTAAGTAACTTCCTCTCTGACTTTTTTTTCTTTCCTTTTTGGAATCAACAACATCCCAACAACGCCACAGCGCCCAGGGCCACGCCTGAGACCTCAGGGCGCAGGCGCCCCAAAACGAGGGCGCGGACGGGAGGAAGGCCGCGTGGGGCGGCGGGAGGAGGGCCGCGCGGGCGGCGGGGGCGGGGCTTGCGGGGGGGGCGGCGGGGCGGGGCTCGCGGGCGGCGGGGGCGGGGTTCGCGGGCGGCGGGGGCGGGGCTCGCCGGGCAGCTGGGCGGGCCCGCGCGCAGGGCCCCGCGCCGACGCAGTGCGCTCACGGGGCGGTGCCGGAGGCGGCGGGTTGTGGTTCCGCTTCCGTCGCGGAGACACGTGAAGGTCGGTGAGTTGGTGGCGGAGTGCATCTCGGCACGCGTGGTCGCGCTGGGATGGATTCCTCCTCGTCTTCCTCCTCCGCGGGCTTGGGCTCGGTGGATCCGCAGCTGCAGCATTTCATCGAGGTAGAGACGCAGAAGCAGCGCTTCCAGCAGCTGGTGCACCAGATGACTGAACTTTGTTGGGTGAGGATCGTAGGACTGGGACCTGGTCACTGTGTCTTCTTTGCCCCTGCCCTTGCCCCGCGGGACTCGTCACGCCGTCCGGCATGCGGGGAGGGGGAGGATCCTGCAGCGCCCGTTGGTGTCCTCAGGGAGAAAGGGTGACTCGTCTTCTCGGGGGACTGTCACACTGGACCTCGGCTTTGTTGGACCGGGGATCGTAGAAGACTTACGCCGCTCTCCCAACCAGCACTTTCAGGCACCCGAGGTTTGAGACTGTCTAGTACTGGTCACCAGGACTGATCAGCGCCCCCAATACTGGCCTTTTATTTTTGGAAGCCCGAGTCCCTGGGAGTCAGTTAATCAGTCTCCTGTTCCTGGACTCTTAGGGATTTACCTTAATCACCTAGTTGCACTAACCTCACCCCATGAGAAGAGAAGGACGCTAGCTCACGAACTATGAAAGTGGCATAATCTCTCCCGACATACACACTTAGTTGCCTTATTGTTGGAGGGTTGTGTAATACTTGGTATTACACACGGGTCTGAAGGTTGAGGAATTTAGTATGCCCTGTGAGGGAACTTTGGCAAAAGGGTAGAAGCCATTTAGAGCTTGGGATCAAAGTGTTCCCCGGCTACCAAGGTTAACTGTCCTGCCTTGACATACAAAATTAGTGGAATTCAGAGGCCAAAGATAATTTTCCTTAGAATTGGGGGTCTGCACCGTGTGTACACAGTAGAGAATAATGAAGGAAATTCATTTGAACCACTTAACTTGAAGTTATTTGTTGTCAGTCTTTGGCCGGTTACACTTTTGGTATTACTGGACTCCGGTCCCTAACAAGTGCTTGCTTAATTCCAATCTGCCTTGTATTAGAGTGCTTTGATTCTCTTTAAAATTCTGTATGATTCTTTACATTTGGGCGGGGGTGGGGTGGTTAAGGACTCCTTTAACTTTTAAAGACTGGAATCTGTAGGCTTTGGGTCTTTTAGGAAACGTCACACAATTTTCTATTCACCTTGAGAGGATTCAAGAACCTCTGGCTTAAGTAGACAAGGTAGTGGAATCTCAAGTCAGAGATTTCCTTTTTTTATTGGTCGATTTTAGAGTGTCTTGTTGCAATGAGCTATCCTATCACCCTTCTGTGGTTTTATTTAAAAGCGTGTGATGCATTGTGTGAGTTACCACCAAATTCAGGGAAGGGTAGCTTCACTTTATTTTGCCATTTTTCTTACTCTAATGGCATTCCCATTTCCTGGCCCTGTGACTTTGGTCAAAGTGTCCCTGTGCCACAGTTTCCCTCTTTGTAAACTGAGGATTAATATTAGTATCAATTCCTAGGGTTACTGTTAGAATTTCGTGTAAGACTGTAGCTTACACAAAGTAAGCTGCCAAGTGTGAACTAGGAGGGACACATACTGTTGTTAGGTGAAGTTTTCTTCTAAGCAACAAGAAGTTTTACCCCCCTCTCTCCCACCTCCAAATTCCCTTTGTGATTCTGTATCTTGTCCTGAGCAGGAGAAGTGCATGGACAAGCCTGGGCCAAAGTTGGACAGTCGGGCTGAGGCCTGTTTTGTGAACTGCGTTGAGCGCTTCATTGATACAAGCCAATTCATCTTGAACCGACTGGAACAGACCCAGAAATCCAAGCCAGTCTTCTCAGAAAGTCTTTCTGACTGATCTCAGCATTACCTCTTTGGAAAAAGAAGGTAGTTCAAGAAATGAAGAGCTGTTGATGGGGCAGTTGAAGAAAACGCTATGGGGGATTGGCTCCCACCTTTGTTACTCTTGGGACATCCGGTCATCTAAGAATGAACAAAGACCAATTTTGTGGGGTGGGGGGTTGGGGTCATATGTGTATTTGGTTGTATTTTTTAATGCTAACCTTTTGAAAAAATTGACAGATGAATGGAAAGTTATTAGATGCCTATTACTCTATGTGGGACTCTGTTTTTCTCAGTCCCATTAACTGCTTCCTGTAATTCTGATAGTGGAACTGCTTTCTATAATTTGATAGTGGGACCACATAGGTAAAAATCTGTCATTTGTGTGAACTCATTTCAGATCTCTGGGGATATTGATATACATCTTTGTTTCTCTCAGAAAGGGTGGCAGTGAGGGAAGAGTAATTTGCTACCTAACTGTAGACTCTCCTTATCTAGTTTTTGACTGTGCTGGGGGAAAAAATTCTATGGACTATTCATACAGTACACTTCAGCATTCTAGTCTATCTCCCTTATTCTGTGAGTTACTTAAATATCTACATAAAGTATGGGTCTTGAGGTAGTACAAGCAGCCTGAGCATCTAGAGGCCTTTAGTTATAAAGGACTCGAGACAGTGAACATAATTCTCATTACTAAACTGCCCCTGGAAGAAGTTAACTTACAACCCTGTGTATCAGGTCCAGAAAATTTAAAGATGTGCCTAAATCAGTTGTAAAGATTTAGGCCAGTCAGAAACTAACTGCAATTTCAGGTGGAGGTGCATGCCTAATGTTAATCAGTATAGATTCCATTTATTGCATTCTTTTGATCACTGAAATAAAAGCTTCTACACAAGTCAAGTCTGATTGAGAAGGCTTTCTATTCTGGCTATCACCTACGACCTGGAGAGACTGGGTGTGGGCTGGATCCCAGGCTGGATGCAGTCATTCTGGGCACCTGCTCTGTAAGTTACAGCACAGTATTGCAGGGATCCCTGATCTTTTTGTGAGAAAAGAATTTTGAAATAAGATGGGGATGGAAAGAATTCATTGCTGATAGTCAATTCCCTGAGTCTAGTAAGAGAGATTATATTGACTGAGTTCCCCTCTATGACGAATCCTTATAGACAAGAGTAGTGACCTACAGAAGCACTTGTTGGGAGCCAATAGTGCAAATCCATGAAAGCTGGGGGAACACATTTATAGAAAGCCTCAAGTTCCTGTTTAGCCTTTTCCCTTATAAGCACTCGAAGAAAATGTTTTAAAATCCCGAAGATAGCACGGCTCAATAAACAATTTAGTGCTGACCCTGTGCCAGACACTGCTTTTGGTGCCAGGGACTCAGCGGTGCTCAGAAATAGTCCCTGCATGTGTGGAGTTTATGTCATAGTGAGGGGAGAAAAGCAAAAAACACGTATCAGTATGTCAGTTGATGTAATGAAGGCCTTGGAGAAAAAGCAGAGTAGGGGTATTAGGAAGGTTTGTGGCTGCTATTTGAGATAAGATGGTTAGAGAAACCTCTTTGGGAAGGTGGCATTTCAGCTACTTTTCATCTAAAAGAACTACATGACCAAGACATGTAGGTGTCTGGGAGAACATTTCAGGTGGCGGTGACGGCATGTCCAAAGGCCCTGAGGTGGGAGGTACATGCTAAGGTGCCATGTGGGACAGTCAGCAGGTCACCTTGGCTGGAGTAAAATAAGTGAGAATGCTAAGAAATGAGGCTGGAGATGCATGGGGTGGGGAGCAGCATAGAGCAAGCACTGGGCAGCTAGGGTGTTGCAGGCCATTGTAAGGACTTGGCTTTTACCAAGCGATGTGGAGAACCACTTGAGGGTTTTTTGCAGACAAGTGACATGCTGTAATGAGTTTTAGGCGAACTTGGCTGCTGTTTGGAGAACATATACATGATAAACAAGCAATAGTAGTCACAGCAGCAAGGGCAAAGCAGTCAGAAGTCCAGGAGTAATCAGGCTTTGAGGGTAGGTGCCAGAGACCAACTCCGGTGAACAGGGTTGAGAGAGGAATCCGATTGAGCCTTAGAAATTGCCAAGAAATGATAGACACAAAATAGAGTTTAAGCAGGAGCCAGGGGACACAAGGCCTCTCTTTAGTGCTCACTCACTTTAGTGCTTATTCTCTATAGTGCCCGGGGCAACTCATTTTTTTTTTTAAAGATTTATTTATTCATACAATCACTGGGGTACAGTCAGAAGCACAGGAGGGGTGAGAGAATTCACCAGAGCCAGAGCAGAGAGCAGAACAGGCAGACCGAAGAAGTATACTGCTGAGGGGAACAGTGGGTGGCAGGAGAGGTCTGTGCGCCATGTGGGACCCTCGCCGGTGGCTGGGGATCGAACCAGCGCTGCAGAGGCTGTGGGCAGCTTGCAGCCCAGCGCTCAACTGCTGTGCCACCTGGGAGGCCCATGGAACTCGTTTTTATTGATACAAGCGCTGCCCCCCCACCTAGGGTTAGTTACCAGACAATGAAGTATTCTCTTAATGTTTGGCCTTGTCTGGGCACACATTCACTGCCAAGGTTCTGCGCCATCAGGTCTTTCTGTTTTTCTAATCTAGTCTGTCCCCTAGACCTAGCTGCGCAGACACAAGAAAGAACATCCCTTGTATGCGGGCCAGTCCTCCCACCCAGGCTCATCAGTTTTTTAGCCATGACCTTGATGTCTTCCTTGTCTCAGCACTGCAGGCCTTAGGGGTCTCCAACAGGTAGGTATCTGGCATATGCCTTGTGTGTATATATGCCCCTTTTGATTTTTTTTTGCCCCACAAAATTGTGTTCATGTAACCCCTCAAGTCATACAAAAGGATCCTTTAGTCTTTTCCTTCTTGTCTTTATTCTTCTTTCTTACTATTTTATTCCTATATTTCTCATGCCTTCACTTAGTAAAGTAACTCATTACGTTTAGGCATGAACTTCAGATTCTCTGTTCTACAGTATTGTTGCTTGCTCAGCTAATATGCATGAGAAAGAGGAGGTGTCAGATTCACACAAGAGCTTGAGCACCAAATGTGTGTTTGGCACAAGACAACAGGAAAGAAGGTAGAACATTTACCCCCACCCTCAGGTTAAATGTCAGAGCAACAGTTTGGGTTTTTGTTTGTTTTTTTCATCTCAGAAATTTGTTTTCAGAACTTGATGGAAAGGTGGTACTGTGTCTTCTCTTTTCTCTGCTTTATTTCATTATGCATAATATCCTGTATGATTTCACTCA